AGGGACGAAACCCGCCGTCGACTACATGGGAGTCCAGCGACATAGCCATTACACTAACTGCTGGTTCCCATCTTTTTTATATTTTTGACATTTTATGCTATCAGGATATTTTTATTTTCAAAGACAAACCTGGGACCAGCAGATGGTGTAATGGTTATTCAAGTCTCAGACCCAGCTTAAAAAACTCACACCAGGCGTGTGTGCGTGCCCAAAATCCCAAGAGGAGAAAGGAGAAGGGATTAAAGTGTGGCCTTCCTCGCTGATTTCTCTCTCTCTCTCTCTCTCTCTCTCTCTCTCTGGTGAGCACACATGCCCTATAGCAAAAATCTCTCTAAAATTTTTTTTTTTCTCTTAAAGATAGTAGCTAGTTTCAAAGGGAAAGTGTTACAAATGAAGCTTTAAAATGACAAAACATACCAGGTAGCCGTTGTGGGGGCTGTCCAGAGCATTATGGGATATTAAGCATCACTCCCAGCCTTTACCTGCTGGATACCAGTAGCATCTCCCACTCCTGTCACAAATAAAAAATGTCTCCAGGGCCATGGCCTGGTCATTAAGGGAGCTGGATCCCAAATGGCTGACTGCATGGTTCGAGTCCCGAACCCGTCAGCCTGAAGAATACACCGGGTGTGCATGCCCAGATTCCTGGAGAAGGGATTGTGGTGTTGGCACTGTTCATAGGAGGTGCTTTCTCCCTCCTGCTCTGTGTCTAGTAAGTGCACATGCCCTCTGCAGGCATTGCCAGCCGTCTCCCAGGGGCTGAGACCTATTGCTGTAGACAGTGCACCCAGACATAAGGGGTCCATTCCTGCACCCCCACCCCTGTGCCCATGCAGTAGCAAGCAACTGGATAACTGAGGTAAAAACCAAACAGTGATCATTTTTATTAGTATTTTTATCTTTTCTTCCCATAAATGCCTTCTTTTTGCCAGCATATTGATGTAATATAAGCTTGAATATGTATGTACTTGTAGCCCTCCTTGAAATTATGTTATTGTTGGTAATATATTGTTATACTCCATCTGAGAATAACCCTGTATTTTATATTCAGCTGTGGTTAATCATTTAAAATAAACTATGTAGAAGGCTTTTTTTTGTTTGTTTGTTTAATTCACTCAATGTTTTGGATGTACTCTGAACCATTATCAGTATCTAGCATCCTAGTTTGAACTAACCCTAACAAATTTAGCCAAAGTTTATGAGATATATTTTGTTTACTTACAAAGTTTTTGTTTGTTTGTTTGTTTGCTATAAAATGCGTGTGCTCACTGGAGACCGAGAGAGAAAAAAACAGAGAGAGGGGAAGTAAGAAGTCACCCGCTGGTAGGGGAAGGCCACACCACAGTCCCTCCTCCTCCAGTCTCCCCTTGAGATTTTGGGCACGCACACATACGCACCTGGCATGATTCTCAAACCACCAGATCAAGGACTCAGGCAGCGCGGTCAGCCATGTGGGGACCAGTGCCTCAGCCTTCGTGCCAGCTGCTGGCCCATACAAAATCTTTAAATAAATACAATAGTTGCTTTGCCTGGGGTGTTAAAACTACAAATGAGTTATTATATTCTAATCACTTTTTAATTTTTTAAATGGAGTTTATTTCTCAAATCATTAATTTTTTTCTGTTTATCTTTTAAAGTCGCCATATAAGGAACCTCATAAGCAGAAAAGTGGACACTCGGGAAATCTCTGAAGCTTATGTGGGCAAATGCTCTCTGCCTACCCCAGTGCCAGGCGCTAGTAGTTCACGTGCGCTAGCGCAGGGGGAGCTGTTTCACATCGGTTGTGATCTCGCTTTTGCAGGCACTGAAACACCCCTACTTCCAAGTCGGTCAGGTGTTGGGCCCTTCCTCGCACCGTCTGGAATCGAAACAGGCTGTCACTAAACCCCTGCAGCCCTTAGAACCAAAGCCTCCTGTAGTCGAACTCGAGCCTAAGCCTCTGCCAGACATAACTGATCAGCCTGCCGGACAGCCCCAGCCAAAGAGCAACCACCAACCGCTGCAGCCCATCCAGCCACCTCCGAATGCCGGCGTGCAGCTGCCTCCCAAGCAGAGTCAGCAGAAGCCGCTGCCCACGCTGTTTCCGAGCATCGTCAGGAATGTGCCAGCTGTGAGTTGCCACTAATGACACTGCAAACGAGTGCTACCAGGGTATCCGCGTCACGATGCTCTTTCCTTCTCACATACTCTCTCTCTCACTGGAGAAGTAAACTGTAAAAAGATACTGAACTCTACAGAGCTCCCTTAGCTGACAGTCTGCTACCTCATTTCGCTGCGGTGTTGAGGCCGTCACGAGAAACCCAGTCACCCAGTTGACTGGAGGCCATCGATGCTGCGTCTAATAAATTCATTGTTTGCTTTTATTTTAGGTTCTTGCTATAGGGCGTATGCACTGGCCAGAGGAAGAGAGAGACAGAGAGAGGGAAAGTGAGAAATCACCTCCCAGGGGTGATGGCCATGCCACAATCCCTTCTCCTTCATTCTGCTCCTGGGATTTTGAGCACGCACGCACACGTGCCAGTCGGCCTTAGATCCATCACTCTAGCTTGTTTGCTGGAGGCTGAATTATCAGTAGGAAATCTTCATTTCTCTTTTACCCTGAAATGGCCAGTTTGCAGGAGCCATGAGGAATCTTCTCCTGAAGGGCCTGCCTCTCGCCTCTCCTGCCACTCTAGCTTGTTTGCTGGAGGATGAATTATCAGTAGGAAACCTTCATTTCTCTTACCCTGGAATCACTAGTTCACAGGAGCCATGAGGAATCTCTGGAATTTCTCTTTTCTTTTCTTTTTGGAGAGATTTTTGCTATAGGGCGTGTGCGCTCGCCAGACAGACAAGAGAGAGGCATAGAAACAGAAAGTGAGAAATCCCCCCCGGAGGGATGGGCACGCCGCAATCCCTTCTCCTCCATTCTCCTCTCGGGATCTTGGGCACGTACGCACACGGTGTGAGATTTAAGCCACCGGGTCCGGGACGCGAACCGCCGTCGACTACATGGGAGTCCAGCGACATAGCCATTACACTAACTGCTGGTTCCCATCTTTTTTATATTTTTGACATTTTATGCTATCAGGATATTTTTATTTTCAAAGACAAACCTGGGACCAGCAGATGGTGTAATGGTTATTCAAGTCTCAGACCCAGCTTAAAAAACTCACACCAGGCGTGTGTGCGTGCCCAAAATCCCAAGAGGAGAAAGGAGAAGGGATTAAAGTGTGGCCTTCCTCGCTGATTTCTCTCTCTCTCTCTCTCTCTCTCTCTCTCTCTGGTGAGCACACATGCCCTATAGCAAAAATCTCTCTAAAATTTTTTTTTTTCTCTTAAAGATAGTAGCTAGTTTCAAAGGGAAAGTGTTACAAATGAAGCTTTAAAATGACAAAACATACCAGGTAGCCGTTGTGGGGGCTGTCCAGAGCATTATGGGATATTAAGCATCACTCCCAGCCTTTACCTGCTGGATACCAGTAGCATCTCCCACTCCTGTCACAAATAAAAAATGTCTCCAGGGCCATGGCCTGGTCATTAAGGGAGCTGGATCCCAAATGGCTGACTGCATGGTTCGAGTCCCGAACCCGTCAGCCTGAAGAATACACCGGGTGTGCATGCCCAGATTCCTGGAGAAGGGATTGTGGTGTTGGCACTGTTCATAGGAGGTGCTTTCTCCCTCCTGCTCTGTGTCTAGTAAGTGCACATGCCCTCTGCAGGCATTGCCAGCCGTCTCCCAGGGGCTGAGACCTATTGCTGTAGACAGTGCACCCAGACATAAGGGGTCCATTCCTGCACCCCCACCCCTGTGCCCATGCAGTAGCAAGCAACTGGATAACTGAGGTAAAAACCAAACAGTGATCATTTTTATTAGTATTTTTATCTTTTCTTCCCATAAATGCCTTCTTTTTGCCAGCATATTGATGTAATATAAGCTTGAATATGTATGTACTTGTAGCCCTCCTTGAAATTATGTTATTGTTGGTAATATATTGTTATACTCCATCTGAGAATAACCCTGTATTTTATATTCAGCTGTGGTTAATCATTTAAAATAAACTATGTAGAAGGCTTTTTTTTGTTTGTTTGTTTAATTCACTCAATGTTTTGGATGTACTCTGAACCATTATCAGTATCTAGCATCCTAGTTTGAACTAACCCTAACAAATTTAGCCAAAGTTTATGAGATATATTTTGTTTACTTACAAAGTTTTTGTTTGTTTGTTTGTTTGCTATAAAATGCGTGTGCTCACTGGAGACCGAGAGAGAAAAAAACAGAGAGAGGGGAAGTAAGAAGTCACCCGCTGGTAGGGGAAGGCCACACCACAGTCCCTCCTCCTCCAGTCTCCCCTTGAGATTTTGGGCACGCACACATACGCACCTGGCATGATTCTCAAACCACCAGATCAAGGACTCAGGCAGCGCGGTCAGCCATGTGGGGACCAGTGCCTCAGCCTTCGTGCCAGCTGCTGGCCCATACAAAATCTTTAAATAAATACAATAGTTGCTTTGCCTGGGGTGTTAAAACTACAAATGAGATATTATATTCTAATCACTTTTTAATTTTTTAAATGGAGTTTATTTCTCAAATCATTAATTTTTTTTATCTTTTATTTTAAAGTCGCCATATAAGGAACCTCATAAGCAGAAAAGTGGACACTCGGGAAATCTCTGAAGCTTATGTGGGCAAATGCTCTCTGCCTACCCCAGTGCCAGGCGCTAGTAGTTCACGTGCGCTAGCGCAGGGGGAGCTGTTTCACATCGGTTGTGATCTCGCTTTTGCAGGCACTGAAACACCCCTACTTCCAAGTCGGTCAGGTGTTGGGCCCTTCCTCGCACCATCTGGAATCGAAACAGGTTGTCAATAAGCCCCTGCAGCCCTTAGAACCAAAGCCTCCTGTAGTCAAACTCGAGCCTAAGCCTCTGCCAGACATAACTGATCAGCCTGCCGGACAGCCCCAGCCAAAGAGCAACCACCAACCGCTGCAGCCCATCCAGCCACCTCCGAATGCCGGCGTGCAGCTGCCTCCCAAGCAGAGTCAGCAGAAGCCGCTGCCCACGCTGTTTCCGAGCATCGTCAGGAATGTGCCAGCTGTGAGTTGCCACTAATGACACTGCAAACGAGTGCTACCAGGGTATCCGCGTCACGATGCTCTTTCCTTCTCACATACTCTCTCTCTCACTGGAGAAGTAAACTGTAAAAAGATACTGAACTCTACAGAGCTCCCTTAGCTGACAGTCTGCTACCTCATTTCGCTGCGGTGTTGAGGCCGTCACGAGAAACCCAGTCACCCAGTTGACTGGAGGCCATCGATGCTGCGTCTAATAAATTCATTGTTTGCTTTTATTTTAGGTTCTTGCTATAGGGCGTATGCACTTGCCAGAGGAAGAGAGAGACAGAGAGAGGGAAAGTGAGAAATCACCTCCCAGGGGTGATGGCCATGCCACAATCCCTTCTCCTTCATTCTGCTCCTGGGATTTTGAGCACGCACGCACACGTGCCAGTCGCCAGGTCTAGGACTCAAACTACAGTCGGCCAACTGGGAATCAGTGCCTTACCACTGTGCCACCTCCTGGCCTACTGTGTGTGTGTTGGTTTTGTTTTTGTTTTTGTTTTGAGAGAGAGATTTTTGCTATAGGACTTGTGCGCTCGCCAGAGGGACAGAGAAATAGAAAGTGAGAAATCACCTTAAGTATCCTTAAGAACTGGGTTGTCGGAAAAGTTGTAACATATTTTTTCTATGTATTTATTTCTTATTTTTCTTTTTTGGAGAGGTTTTTGCTATAGGGCACATGCGCTCACCAGAAAGACAGAGACAGAGAGACAGAAAGCGAGAAATCACCCCCCAGGGGGGATGGCCACGCCGCAATTCCTTCTCCTCCATTCTCCTCTCGGGATCTTGGGTCCACAAGCACATGCACACGGCGTGAGTTTTAAGCCACCGGGTCCAGGACTCGAACCGCAGTTGACTACATGGGAGTCCAGCGACATAGCCATTACTCTAATTGCTGGTCCCTCTATGTATTTATTTCTATGCAAAAATGTGTCATGATTTTCCCGACAACCCTATATATGGAAGTTTCTTTGGTAATGGGGGACTTTTAGTGTTTAATATAACAGCTTATACTGAAAAGGTTTTCAGCAAATGATTAAAGATTATGGTGGCTGGTTTCCCCTCACAGAAGCCAGCGGGCACACTTGGTCATAAAAGTGGAAGGAGGCGTTGGGGTCAGACCATCTTCAAGACTGGGGATAGTTGGGAAGAGTTTGAAGATGGTGATTTCGGAGCTTCTCATTCTAAGAAGCCAAGCATGGATGTTCTCAAAGAAAAAAGGAAAAAAGATTCTCCATTTCGGTAAGACTTCTGATTCTCCAGGGGGAAAAAAAAAAAAGAACTTTTTTTTTAACCTTTCATCAACTTTATTTTACTCAATAGATGTAAATGAATGTTTACTTAAAAAGACAGAAAGGTAGCTTTGTATCATTTTGTCATGTGGGTGCAGTTCTTGACACCCTAAAACAATTGTAATGGGGGCCAGCAGGTGGTGTGGTGTTGAGGGTGCTGGACTCCCACGTGGCCAGCCATGGTCCGAGTCCCAGACCTGGCAGCTTGCTTTCTCATTTTCCCTCTCTCACTCTGTCCCTCTCTGGTCTAATTAAAAATAAATACATAAATAAGTAGAGTTAAATAAAATGATTCTTAAGAAAATTATAATAGTAAGATCAGAGATCACTATTCACACATCACTGTAACCCAGTATACTAATGGTGAAAAAGTTTGAAATATTGTGAGAATTACCAAAATGTGATGCAGAGACACAAAGCGAGCACATGCTGTTAGAAAAATGACGCAGAGGCCTGCAAGTGACCTAGTCGTTAAGGCACTGGACTCCCCCATGGCTGCCCACAGTTCAAGTCCCAGACCTGGCAGCTTGAAAATCACATCAGGCTTCTCCCACGCCCAGTAGGACGGAGGAAAAGGGATTGCGGCTCGGCCATCTCCCCCGCGGGGTGCTCTTGCATTCCCTCTCACACTGCTTTAGTGGACAGGCGACACAGGCTGATCACAGGATCATCGTCTGTTTCGATGTGCCATGCCACCTTCCCACATTCTGAATCCAGCCGTTGCTGGAGAGAAACATCCAGAGGGCAGTTGCTGCTTCATTATAAAGCTTTCTGTTGTACACTACCTGCTCTCAGAAGTGGTTCTGCCCTGCCTACTGGGGGAGGCCGTCATTTCGCATTTCCATGGGTGAAAAGACTGATGGAAACCGTGGCACTGATGGCTGGAGAGCTGTCCCTAGGGCGGGTTAGGAATCGTGCTGTCTGCCTGCTGTAACACCACCGTGTGTTGACTTTGAAGGCTTCCAGAATCAGTACCCTCAGTCTCCAACCACTCAACAGGGGAAAACAAGAACCTACCTGCTGTTGCTTCTCTAAAACCTGATTCCGAGTTACCAACCGCCTCGACAGCTAAACAGTACTACTTGAAGCAATCACGATACCTTCCAGGTAAGTACAGAAAATGAAATGTTTACAGCTAACTAGCATAGAGATAGGCCAGGCTCGAGTGCCTGGGAATTCTGAAGGTCACCAGTGAAGTAGAAAATATTACCCTAGAGCTCGTGGGCGGCCCAGACTGTGGCCAAGAACTTGCCTCTGCCACTTGTGGAAGTCTGCTCAAGAAGTGCGTAGTTGCCAAAATCAAGATGCTGAACATGCTTCCAAAAGTTTCTCCCTCCCCTGCCAAAGCTATGCGCGTTGTAAATGCTAACTTGCAGAATTTGCTTTAAGCAATTCTGTACTTCCATATCAACTTTTAATAAAATGCAAATTTTATATTGTCTCCTAAATGATCTGATGGATGTTTTGGAAATCAGTTCTGTAGCAGAGTTTTCGTAGTCCCACATAGGTACACTGCCTCCTGGAATCATTTCTGATTCATCTTTCCAGGTGTTTGAACTGAGAGATGTCAGTGCCCGGTGGCAGTCCTGGTGTTTGCTAAAAAGTGGGTGCAGTGAACCTTTCTGGACACTGCAGCCTTTTATAAAATGGGTGAGAAGAAACAAACGTTTCTTCTTTAAGGAGTTGAAATTTGTAAGGTGGGGGGGGGGCAACACTTCACAAGAAAACTAAGGACCCTGTACCGGACCAGCTGCCACTGTCCCTGCAATGTGTGGACGGGCTCCCCCTGATGGATGTTTATAGAAGGTCATTCTGACTGCCAGGTGGAGCTTGCTAGAGAGCCCAGCAGACTGGTCAGGCAGCCACTATGTAAGTCCAGATGGGCGACGGTGATGGCTTATGCCAGAGAGGAATAGGTAGAGATAGAAGTGGGGAAAATTAGACATTTTGGTAGTGCAACTGAACTGACTTGCTGATAGGTTAGTATGGCTGATGGGAAGCATAAAAAGAGCTGGTGTCCGCTTCTGCAATCCTGACTTGGCAGCTGGGTGGGTAGTGGTGACTTCGAGAAAGGCAAGATTAGGGACGGACAGGAGCACGGAGGTGCAGAATCAGCTGCTGAGTTTGGGATGCCTGTTGAATACCCAAATTAATCTAACGGACACCCAGATCTGTGAATATGGAGCTTGGGAGAAAGACCTAGCAGACAGTGGGGAATTTATCATGCACCTGCAAACAGCATTTTCCCCTCTACATCCAGTTTTTAAATTTTTAAAAATTCAGTTAATCTAGGGGCCAGCAGGTGGTGTAGTGGTTAAGATGCTAGGTTCCCATGTGACCACGGTTTAAGTCCCAGACCTGGCAGCTTGCTTTCTCACTTTTCTTCTCTCTCTCTCTCTCTCTGGGGAGTGCATGTGCCCTATAGCAAATTTAAAAAATAACAGTAAAAAATAAATAATTCTTTAAAAAAAGAAGTAAACTGTTTAAAAATTTTACTCTAGAAAGGAATCAATTTTTAAATCACTGTATATCTGTACAAATATATCTTTCATCTTATGAGGGGAGTAGATGATCTTTTTGTGTTTTTGTGGGCGTGGTCATTTATAGCTTTCTAAACAAAGTGAGCAGGAAAATTTGCTTGTACCCCTAACTCTTCTTAAGGAAGCTATGGTCTTCATTCCCCAGAGGCTTATTTGGGAAAGAAGCATCAAGCAGCTGAAAGAAAAGGTTGAGGCTGGATCGTGAGCAGGAATCCGATGTATATAACCCATTCTTCTACTTTTCCCTATACGTTTCATCCTAGGAATCCAATCAGGGGGCCCATTTCTGCTGTTAATAACTGGCGAGAGGAAAGAGGGAAAATGAGGAAAGGGTTTAGGAATGAATGAGCTAGAAGACAGAAGGCACAGTGGGAGTCTAGACCAAGAGGGAGGTGGTGAGCAAGTGGAAATGAGCACGCAGACAGCAGGTAAAGGCTTTCGGAGTGTGCCCTGGCTGACTGTGGGCAGTAAGGGAGACACTGCTCTGTCTAAGGGTAGTTAGAGAGATCGACATTTTTACTTCACAAATGTAAGATGCAGGGGCCAACAGGTGGTGTGGTGGTGAAGGCACTGGATTTCCACATGGCTAACCTTGGTTCGAGTCCCAGACCTGATGGCTTGCTTTCTCACTCCCCACCCCACCCCACTCTGTCCCTCTCTGGTCAAATTAAAATAAATAAATAAAGTTAAATAAAATAATTATTTAAAAAAAAAAAAAGGAGACTCAAAATTACGGGCACACACACACACACACACAAACACCCAACATGATTTTTCTGGGACTCAAACAGCAGTCAGCTATGTGGTAGTCCAGCACCTTAACCACCCCATCTCCTATTGGCCCCAACGAGACATTTTTACAAGCAAGAATGTCAAATGTTATTATTAGTACTTGTAGTTTAGAAAATATCTTCTATGGGGCCAGCAGGTGGCGTGGTAGTTAAGGTGGCTGGACTCCCACATGACTGACAGCGGTTCAAGTCCCAGACCTGGCAGCGTGCTTTCTCACTTTCCTTTTCTCTCTCTGGTCAACTTCAAAAATAAATAAATAAATAAAAAGTAATAGCAATGGCCAGGCGTGTGTGCGTGCGTGCCCAGGATCCTGAGAGGAGAACGGAGGAGAAGAGATTGCGGCATGGCCATGCCCCCTGGGGGGTGATTTCTCGGTTTCTCTCTCTCTGTCTCTTTCTGTCTGTCTGGCGAGCGCATGCGCCCTATAGCAAAAAAATCTCTCCAAAAAAAAAGTAATGGCAATGAATAAAATTAATATAATTATTTTTAAAAATAGAAATACCTTCTGTGTACAAAGCACACTGCTACTATTCCAGGTTGTTGAGCCGAGAGCATGGGATCATGTCCGGGTTCATCAGAAACCAAGTTTGCTACATTTTTTAAAAAGTATTTATTTATTTATTTTCAATTTTTAACCAGAGAGAGAGGGGAAGCCATCAGGTCTAAGACTTGAACCGCGGTTGTCCTTGTGGGAGTCCAGTGCCTTTAACCACCACGCTACCTGCCGGTCCCAAGTCTGCTACATTTTAACCTGAATATAGTTCCATTTTCCTGCCCAAAGTGTTTCTAGTCTTTGTTTAAATGATATAAATATATTTATCCCTCAAATTTACCATCACACTCTAACCTCGGCATCACTGCTTTGTTCTTCGAAGGGGTAAATCCCAAGAACGTGTCCTTCATAGCCAGTGGGAAGGATGGAAACCCGTACACGTGGGGCAATCAGTTATTCCCTAAGTCACTGGGACCCATCGGGGCAGAACTCGCTTTCAAAAGGAGCAACGCAGGTAAGGCAAGAATGCATCTATAGCGTGAGTGTATATTGCTTTCTTTCTACAGATGTTTACTTTGAAAGATAGTGCAGCTGCCTCCTCCCAGCCTGGATGTGTGCACCCCTGCAGGGGTGGGAATGGGCGCTACACCAAGGCTTCCCAGCTAGCGCTTGAGCAGAGAGTTGTAAGGGAATCACTGCCAGACCCTCAGCTTCCACACAGGGTCCTTCCTAACGCGGATCTGCCTTGGCAAGGTGTCTCTGTTTACTACTTAACAAACATAGGCTTTCTGACACCGCGCAGGTGGTTGGTGGTTAAAGTGTTGGGTTCTCACACAGCCACCCACAGTTCAAGTCCCAGATCAGGCAGCTTAAAAGTCATGCCAGATGTGTGTGCATGCATGCATACCCCAAATCCCAAGAGAAGAATGGAGAAGGGACTGTTATGTGGCCATCTCCCCTTGGTGTGGGGAGGTTGATTTCTCACTCTCCCTCTCTGCGTCTCTATGGCAAGTACACACACCCTATGGCAAAAGGAAAGAAAAAAAAACTTCTTACTCATCACTCATGGTGTGTTTCCTGTTTCTAAAAAGTGTAAGAATATCTAGGGTCAATTGAAGGGACGGTTTGATACACTGATGTCGTGTTGAGAAAGTAAGTCACTCTGATGATGCGGAACTGGTTCTTTTAAAGCCAGTCAGCTTCCAGATCTCAGGCTTCCAGAAAGCTTTCGGAAGTCACTGTATGATTTCTGGTCTGTGACTTGAAAGAGAGTTCAAAGAATAAATAAAGCAACAAACACAATCCTTTTCATTCCCAACTATGTGGGTGCATTAGCCAGGCTTCTCAGGGCTTCCGTCTCCAAAAACAAAGAGAGAACAGAAATAGCACTGATGCTAAACCCGGAGTGATTCTAGCAGTAACTCTTACTTATTTATGGATACATGAACTATTTGGAAATCCCATCTTTCGCGACCAGCAGTTAGCGTAATGGCTATGTTGCTAGTCTCCCGTGTAGACGACTGCAGTTCTAGGCCCAGACCCAGTGGCTTAAATTCATGCTGAGCGCATGGGCGTGCGTGCCCAAGATACCAAGAGGAGAATGGAGGAGAAGGGATTGCGGCATGGCTATCCCCCCTAGGGGGCGATTTCTCGCTTTGTCTCTATGTCCTGGTGAGTACACACACCCTATAGGAAAAACCTCTCAAAAAAAAAAAAAAAAATCCCATCTTTCTCATTAAGAGATGCATTTGTGGGGCCAGCAGATAGTGTACCGGTTATGTCGCTGGACTCCCATGTGGCCAGTGGCAGTTTGAGTCCTGGACCCAGTGGCTTGAAAGTTACGCTGGGCGCATGTGTGTGCGTACCCAAAATCCTAGAAGGAGAATGGAGAAGGGATTGTACTGTGGTTAGCCCCCAGGGGGTAATTTCTCACTCTCCCTCTGTCTCTTTCTCTCTCCAGCAAGTGCACATGCTCTGAGGCAAAAACCTGTACCAAAAAAAAAAGCATTTCTAAAACAATCTCTTACTTCTCATTAATGCAACCAAAATTTATAATATTCACTTTTTGGGGGGTGGAGAGATTTTTGCTATAGGGCACATATGCTTACTGGAGAGACAGAAACAGAAAACAAGAAGTCATCCCCTGGGGGGATGGCCACACCGCAGTCTCCCCTCTTCCATCCGCCTCTTGGGATTCTGGGCATGCACACACACGTACCCAATGTGAGTTTCAAGTCTCCAGGTCCAGGACTCAAACCGCAGTCAACTGCATGGGAGTCCAGTAACGTAATCATTATGCCATCTGCTGGTCCCATATTCACCTTTTAAGATTATATACAATAAATCATTATAACTAATTTAGTCTAGAGAAGTATTTTAATGTAATTATGGTTAAAATAATTTAAAAACTGTTTTAATTTATATACATTTTTGAGTGATCAATTTAAAAACTTTCAAGCCTAAAATTATATTTAGATAAAGTGAGGCAGCTGAGATCCAACTAGAAGTAAAATTTTAGAGAACAAAGGAGATTAATGTGAAATTCTCAGCTGTAAAAAGGAACATATTCATCTATGTTTATGTAATTATTGGTGGGCATAAAGTTATTATGGTATTAGATCCCATTGGTCATACTTAAAGAAGAGATGTGATTTTTTTTTAATGTCCATAATTACAGTATGCCAGAAATGACACCCTCTGAAACTGTTAGACATGATAAAACTTTTTGGATATGAACTTACAAGTGTGTGAAGAGGTATGGAGTTATTTTTAAAAAGTACATGGCATCAGAATTTGAAAAGTTTGACCGTCACTGTGTGAGCAGGTGCATCTACTGAGTTATTCTGATTGTGACATCAATACCCTTGGGCTTTTTGCTGGTTTCCCAGATCCCTCAAGGACTCAACTTATCTATTTAAAAGTGTTAAGTGTCATATAATGACGTCAGTGCCGTAACGTGCTTTTTCTGTTATTTCAAAATAATACTTACCTGGGACCAGCAGAAGGCGTAGCAGTTATGTCGCTGGATCCTCACATGGCCGACTGTGGTTTGAGTCTTGGACCCAGTGGCTTGAAAATCATGCTGAGGACGTGTGTGCGCGTGCCCAAGACCCCAGCAGGAGAATGGAGGAGAAGGGATCGGGGCGTGGCCATTCCCCTGGGGGGGTGATTTCTCACTTTCCCTCTCACTAGCTCCACCAAGTGCTTGTGCCTTAAGGCAAAAATCTTAAAAAATAAAGTTAAATAAATATTTACCAAATAAACTGGTTATTTAAGTCAGTTTAAATGGCAGCACCACAGTTCCGATCCCAAGCGAATATACAATTGACATCAAATGAAAACTGACAACACTCAGGAACATTTTCTCATTTTAAGAGTTCTTTCTGGGTCTTTTCATTAATCATCTAGTCCATTTTTCTCTCCTTTTTCTAAAACATTCTCCTTACTGTCCGTTCTTCCTTTCCGTCTGCCTTCTCTTCAGAAGAAAGCATAATTAAACCAATTGAAAAACTATCATGCAATGAAAGATTTCCTGAAAAATCAGAAGACCCACAAGGTAATTTCTGGGCATTTCAGATGAGTGTAACCTGTTCTTTGAGTTCCTTGTCTATTTTCATCTCAATCTTGCCATAAAAGGCCATGGTGAGGGACCAGCAGGCGGTGTGGTGGTTAAGGCACTGGATTCCTACATGGCCGATTGCTGTTCAAGTCCTTGACCTGGCAGCTTGCTTCCTCACTTTCCTTCTCTCTCTTTCTCTCTCTCTCTGTCTCTCTCTGGTGAGTGCATGTGCCCTATAGCAAATTATAAAAATAATAATAAATAAAATTAAATAAATAATTTTTTTTTAAGTGACCTGCTTTTAGAAGTCAGATAAGACCTAAGCGGAAGATCAGCCCTTGTCATTAAGGTTATCTCCCTTCAGTTCGCTGAACACGAATTCATTCTCAAAAAACTGTATGCTCATCTTCTTAAATTAATTATGGCGATTGATGAACATGAACTAAATCTACTGAAAAAAAAAAACCAGAATATTGTCTACTTTTCAGTATTTTCAACTCTTGTTAATTAAGCACTAACAGTTATTTAACCAGGTTAGTAGAGATGACAAATTTCTTAGGAGCTCAGTGTCACTGGTTCTAACAGTGTGGACCACTGGCTGCAGTCTAAAACTCTGCAGCTCACAAGATACTTCAATAATAAGCCAAAATCATTTCAGAAGACTTAATCTTGTGTTCATTTTCCCTTCTCAACTTCCTTCTTCAGTAAGAAGCAACACCATGGAACCACTTAATGCATGGCTTTTAGAGTCTGTCACAGGCCCATCAGTCACTCACTGGCTTTGTGGTTTTGGACAAGTTAGTTAAGAGAGGTTCCTCATCTATCAAGTAGAGGGAATATTATTATTTATTATTATATATCCACACCTAGGACTTTTGTCACACAGTAAACATTTCTTAGGAGGGGTCTTCAAAAACTTAATGGGAAATGCATATTATGAAAAAAATGCATGGATTTAATTTTTTTTTCAAGTGCCAAAGGCCACCAGAGAAAGGCAGAGAAGAAGAAAGCACTGCCTGGGGCACGGTCATGCCACGGTCCCCTCGCTCCATCCCATCAGGACTTTGGGCACACACAACATGCACCGTGTGTGTTTCCAGCCAGGTCTAGAACCACTGTTGGTCATGGGGGATCTGGCTCCCAGTACATGTCACTTAGCCCCTGTGCTCTGGGGTAGTCATGGATTTCAAAATCTTTTGCACCAAAATAAATTTGTACATTAATTCAATTTTTCCACAAAGATTTTTAAGTCTCCTTGCATCTGCTCTGATGAGGAGAATGAGCGTAGAAGTATTCTAATACTCTTCAGTATTCTGAAGCTGCTACTGAATACGATTATTGCCTTGGACTGAGAGTGACTCGGAGTGAGTACCTGAGAGGAGAAAGGTCCCGTTAGACAGCTGTCCTTACGCGGAATTCAGTGGGGTTAGCAGCGGTGCAGACCAACAGTACGCGCTTACTGTGGGAGACCCCCCAGGGTTTGATGAGCAAAACTGTGGTTTGATGTTTGTTGATTCAAAAGCACACACTTGGCGGGGACCTGCCCTGCTCAGCCTCAGGAGAGACACAGGAGCACAGAGCTCAGAGTCCAGGCGTGTAAAACACTCCAGGGAAGACACTGCAGTCATAGCCACCAACCGGGCACCACCAGGGCAATCGGAGCCTGGTTCCACCTGTAGCTGACAAGCCTGTCCCTTTTTTCTGTTTGACTGAACTCCATCTCGCTTGGCGCTTCCAGTCTGCTCCTTGACTCACTGTCATGTGTTCAGGGCCTGCCTCCTGTCACTGAGGCAGCTCATGCTACATCCTGGCGGCCTGGTCCCATGGACATGCTGCCTTCCTCAGGCCTCGCCGCCTTTGCCATTCCTTCTTTCCCCACACTCCGGATTCTCACAGCATTGGACACCCTGCTCTTCTGCTGCCACCTCTTTCTTCTCCACAGGGTCCTTTCCTGTCCCTTCCCTCAATGCTGGTGTTCCTTAGGAGAGGAAATCCTCCAAGCCCACAGGCCCATGACCACCAGTCCCCGAGGACTGCAAATCTCCAGATCCGCCTACTCGCACACCATGACTTGACTGTCCTCCATGTACCGTGTCCTTCCCCGAAACCTAATACTTCTCTTCTACTGTTCTCAGATACCCCACCCAGTGACCTGAGCTGCAAACCCAGGGTTTATAGTCTCCCCTCTCCCTACCACCACCCTGTAAATCCACCCAAGTCCCCTCTCTCCATCCCTCTGCGACTGCCCTATTCAAGCCGTCATGCTCTGTCACTTCAGGGGGAGCACTGACCTCCCGGCTAGTCTGCTGCCTTCAGGTTTTCCCTCTGTGCCCTCCCTGCACTGCCTGGTTGCTCTCATCAGTAGTGATCATGATGACAGTGATGATGACAGCTGACATTTATGAAGTAGCAGGTGCTATGCTCAGTGCTCTGTGTAATCCGAGTCAGTCCCAATGACGACCCTATGAGACTTGATCCACTTAAAATGATTTTACAAAACAAAGACACTCAGAGCATGGGGCTCTGTGGCAGGAGACATGCCTCCACATACCTCCTCTTAAGAGCTGTCTGTCGGGGCCAGCAGGTGGCGTGGTGGTTAAGGTGCTGGACTCCCACACTGCCAACCACAGTTCAAATTTCGGACCTGGTATCTTGAAAATCACACTGGGCGCATGTGCGTGCATGCCCAAGATCCGGAGAGGAGAATGGAGAAGGGATTGTGGCGTGGCCATTACCCCCCGGGGGTGGGTTCTCCCTTTCCCTCTCACTGTCTCTTTAGCAAGCACATATGCCCTAATGCAAAAAAGAAAGAAAGAAAAGAAGTGTTGTCATAAAAAGGCCTTGAGTTCAGATTCTCGCTTACTCCTTACTAATAAGAATTTAGACTCCAGAGCCCTATCCGATGTAGAGGACACCGAGAAGTGCCTGAAGGGTTGTTATTTGGACTGACAGGCTCCTGTAACAAGCGCCGCGCGGTGCCTAGAACATCCTAGATGCTAAAAAAAAGGAGCATTTATAAGTAGTAGGGGTAGTACTCAGGTATCCTGTGGGGCTTTGCAATCTTCATGTTCTGACTATGAAACTATGATTCATCTAGGAAGTCTTGGAAGTTATGCTCCTTACAGTCAGTCAGGATATCTCCCATCCTTCCTCAAAAAAGAAGTGGGATCGGCCGGCCAGAGGATCCACTTGGCGCCTCTTGGTGCAACAGCTTCAGGTAAGAACAACTGTCGTAGATGTGTGCTCTAGATTCCCGAGCGGGGCGCTCTTCCCTTTAAAGTGCCAGTGGCTTTTCCCAAGTCAACACTTAGATTAGTCTCACCTTCCTAATCCAGAGCTAATTGGCTCTGGTATAATGCCCTGCTCTTCTTCCAAAAAGTGTGGTTTGAGAGTCTAGTAACCGAAGAGCTACCTCTGATTAGGTGGTTCCTCTCTGCCAGGCACAGGTACAGGGCTCGGTGGGTCCCTCCTGCAGGCGAGCAGGTTGGCAGTAAGTGATTTGCCTGAGATCACAGGGCTAGTGAGGCTGAGGTAGAGACTAGGCCTGTCCACTCCCGGGGCGCGTGCTGTGCTGTGCTGGACGATGAGATGTGAGAAGATGCATTTTCCAGAGCTTTCTGCGCAGCAGCTGGCACAGAGTGGATGCTTAGTAAACCCGGAGTACTCTCTGTGTGAGGCAACCTGCGGGTTCTCTACAGCACACTCCAGGGTGCAGAAGTCAGCGGTGGCACACCTTCCACACTCTGCCATTCGATTCGTCACAGCACTAGGTGTTGGAGGCTGACCCCTGACCCCCGCCGTGTGACGGCTGACTGAGGCGGGCTTGCGCTTAGGCTTGCGCTTACCGCGGCCTCTGACAGTCACACGCAGGGGCACGCCCCTGACACTGAGGATAGTGACTCTGCACTTGAGCCAGCCAGTCTGACTGTGAATGTTCTCTAAGTGTAATCTAAAACAGATTTCCTTATTGAAGCGCCCAAACAAACAGTAAGGCAGATATTCGAAAGTTTGATAAGTTATAGAATTGTAGTTTAATTTAAATGTTGACTCGAGACATTTGGCTTAAGTTGCCAGTCTTTAAAGTTCATGCTTATTGGAGCTAAAACTGTAAAAAAGCACTGGATAGCTTCAATTTTTTATTTATGATAGTAGAACTATTGATACTTAAATAGGACTTAATTACCTTCTCTATGAAAAGGATTAGTTCATACTCTCCCTTGCTGAAACAAAATATATAGAGATAAGTAAACATTTCATACAGCAATGATTTTTTTTTTGAAGACTCAGGTATGTTAAGCTAGCCTTAAAAAGACGTGTTCACCATGGCTTCAATTTATAATAGCTTTTACAGCAGAATATCATGTTTCAAATTATTTTGTTATCTGGGTGCCTGCTCTTAGAAATTGAGTTAGGTCTCTTTAGGAATATTTTTTAGGACATTGAAGGCCTAATTATATATAACGATTCTGTCACATTAGCATGCATATGCCTATTTTCATTTTTAAATAAATGTTTCCTCATACGTTTTCATCTGCTCATTTACTCTGCTTATCAAATTTTCCTACAGACGGTGATAGGAGGAAGGGTAAAAAAATGAAGTAAATATTATCACTCTCAAGTGGCCAATGCAGATCCTTAGGAAAACACTGTTTTGTGAGAGATGTGTCTTCCAGACCTTCCACTTGGGTGACAGTTTCCCACAGGAAAATAAAACCAGGTCATTACCGTATTTACTCAACTATCTCCCCTCCTCTCAGAGCCTCCTCCTCTGCTTTCTTCCCTGCCCTCAAGCTTTGAGAAGAAAAGTCCAATTGGTTTCTTCCTCTTCCCTCCCTAACATCTCCTCCCAAATGTCCCTCACCTCCTGCCTTTAAAATAACCAGGACTTCAAGGAGTGACTTCTGTCACACTCGGCCGCTCTGTAGAAGCACAGGGCCCATTCTCACCTCTGGACGAACCCTAACTCATCCAGTCCCCCCAGTGGCTATTACAGAAGGTCCTATTATGATCTCCACCTTATGGAAGCTTTATATCTTGCTTACAGTGACAGCACAGTGGCATTGATTACATCCGAAACGAGAGGCGAACTCCTTTCCTTTCCGTTAGCACAGATTTTCTATGAGAAGTTCAATGCCCACGATAGGACAAGCATTAGAGGCTGAATGCCCTGCTCTTGCGGGGTGGTCTGGTGAGGTGGTTATGGGCCTGCCACGGGGTCTCCACCAGGGAGCTCGAGCTCTGAAGCCCTGCTGTGTCCAGGAAAGGAGCCCGAAAGCTCAGCACCACCACCTTCTCGGCAAAATGATTTTCTCTTCAAGGAAGTTTCTAAAATGTTGGCCTGGGCTGACTCCACGGCCTATAGGTTAAGGGAGGCACTCCCATATGGCCAACTGCAGTTTGAATCCTGGGCCTGGCAGCCTGAAAAACTTGAGCGCGCGTGTGTGTGTGTGTGTGTGTGTGTGTGTGTGCGCGCGTGCACGCGCACGTGCCCCAAATCCTAACAAGATGGTGAAATGGAGGAAAAGGGTACCACACCCCATTGGGAAGGGTGCTTTCTCTTTTTCTCTCTGGCAAGCACATGTATCCTCTGGCAAATGTGTGTGTGTGTGTGTGTGTGTATTTCCTTTTGATTATTCCCCAGACCCCTGACTTCTTCCCCTCAAGAGCCTCACACACCAGAGTTGAACTGTGTTTCCTGTTTCCCGAATGAGACTGGCTTACTGCCTGTCTCATCCCCTCTCCCCACTCCTGTCCCCACACATGCTCTCCCACCCGCGGTACTGCCCTGAGCCACGTCCTCACGTGGGAGTTGCTTATTCAGCAGACAGAGGCATGCTGATACTACAGCCCCCGTATCTGCAGGCAGCGTATGCCGAGGCCCCGGTGGGTAGCTGAAACTGCACGGTGCCACACCCTGTGTACTCTGGTTTTCCCTGTGCATGCGTACGTACGTACTCGTGATAAAGCCTCTTACAAAGCAGGCCTGGAGAGATTAGCAGTTTAACTACAATTATACTAAACGTTATTTAAAACCTGAGTTGTTTGTTTCTGGGATTGTCCATGTAATGTTTTTGGACCACAGCGGACAGTGGGTAACTGAGACTGTAAGAAGCCACGCATGGATACGGGGCTCCCACTGTGTTCCGGAGACATGACTTAAAGCATCGTTCCTGGCAAACACGATGCCTTGACTGGTCCTTCGAGATACACTCCCTGCCATTGTTAGGTGGCTTCTTAAAATTGTTGCTATAGAGTGTGTGCACTGGCCAGGAAGAGACAGAGAGAGGAAGAGGAGAAAAGTTAGAAGGCACCCCCTCCCCCAGGAGGAGGGCCAGGCCTCAATCCCGCCCTGCATTCTCTTCTTGGGACTTTTGGGCACACATGCACATGTTCCTAGCTTGTCTCTCAAGCCACCAGGTCTGGGATTGAACCAGAGTCAGTCATGTGGGATCCAGCGGCCTTAGCCACTACGCCACCAGCTGGCCCCATTGCGTAGCTTTTTGGCAGCTCTTAGAACTTTCAGCCCAGTAACAGTGGTCTGAAACGACCTGTCAGACACTGCGGGAGAACTTCTGGCCTCCAGCCCCACCCCAACTGCACAGCATTCAGGGTTCGGGGTGCCTGTCTCACCCAGGGCGCTTAGTTCTGCATTTAACCCCTCATTTACTGTACGCTGAGTTAGCAGCGTTTCGGGGCCATGTGCACACGTGATTTTCTCCTGCACTCCCAGTTTTATGGGGAATGTGGAAGAAAACCCAGAGAATGGCCAGACTCATTTCCAAACTGACACTGAGGGTCTGACCCACGAGTGGCAGGCAGCTACTGCACAGTGTGAATGTGCTTAACTCCCAAGGGCGGTATCGAGCAGCTCTCCCCAGGTGGAATTCCTGTCATACCTAGACGCTGCTTTGAAACAAGGGGTGAGGGAGAGACTGAAGACGTTAAAATTCTCCGTGGGGCAGGGCCAGCAGGTGGCATGGTGGTTACTGCACTGGAGTCCCATGTGGCAGACCACAGTTTAAGTCCTGGACCCGATACCTTGAAAATCACGCTGGTGCATGTGTGCCCAAAGTCCTGAGAGGAGAATGAAGGAGGAGGGATTGCGGTGTGGCCATTCCCCCTGGGGGTGATTTCTCACTTTCCCTCTGTCTCTTTCTGTCTTTCCCCAGTGAGCTATGGCAAAACCTTAAAAAACAATTCTCTTTTGGGCTAGCCTCGTAGCCTCGTGGTTAGGGGACCAGGTCGCGCAGGGCCAACTGCAGCTCGAATCTTAGCCCCAGCACCTTGACAAACATGCTGGGCTTTTTGTACATACCGCACATCTCAACAGAATGGAAAAATGGAGGAGAGGGACTGTGGCATGACCACACTCCTACTGGGGGTTGCTTTCTTAAACGTCTTCACCTTTCTGTCTCTGGCAAGCTCATATGCCCTCTGACAATTAAAAAATTAATAAAATTACCTTTTGATGATTTACTAGTTTGTCATTTGAGATGTTTAAATAATTTTAGCTTATAAAGTGTTCAGAGAACAAATGCCTAACAAATTTTTTGATTTTCACAAAATTTTAAGTTGCTTAATGTCTGAATAAAGCAAACCTTGTGATTAAAGGTTTGGGGTCCCAGGAAGGGACCTGCTATTTAAGGAACTTATGTTGTTACCTAGCATTTTTCCAATGAAAAAAAAATGAAGTTTCCAGAAACCTCTCAAAAACAAAACAAAACAAAATAATAAAAACCTTGGGACCAGCAGTTAGCGTAATGGCTATGTCGCTGAAATCCCATGTAGTCGACCGCAGTTTGAGTCCCAGACCCGGTGGCTTAAACTCGTGCCGGGCGTGTGTGCATGCATGCCCAAGACCCCAAGAGGAGAATGGAGGAGAAGGGATTGCGGCGTGGCCATCCCCCTTGGAGGGTGATGTCTCGCTTTCTGTCTGTCTCTTTCTGGCGAGTGCACGCGCCCTAAAGCAAAAACCTCTCCAAAAAAAGTGAAGTTTCCAGACTCTAAAAAACACTTTCATTTTTAAAAAAATTATTTATTTATTATTATTTTTTAATTTGTTATAGGGCATGCACCCTCACCAGGGAGAGACACAGAGAGAGAGAAAGCAAGCCACCAGGTTCAGGACTTGAACCGTGGTCACCTTGTGGGAGTCCAGTTCCTTAATCACCACTCCACCTGCTGGCCCCCACACTTGCACTTTTAAAAAGAAATCTGTCATGGGACCCCCCCCATGTGCAGCTTCATGAAGCCAGAGTCATGTAAGACTCCCAGTTCTGAATGCACGTTCCATAGCAAGACTGTGTACCATTCTGCTGTACTCACGGTGTGATACCACAGTCATTAGGGCTGTGGGCGTCGCCAGCCTGAGCCAAGTCTTGCCCTTGGTCACCTGACTTGATGCTGCATTTGCATCTAAATGTGGCGTACTGGCCACATCAGCCTTGCCAGGACCACCAGCCAGGAATATCATCTCTTAAGCTACTGAACCGTGCTAATCGGTGTCCATATGGTACTATATTTGAATTTTGAGTTTCAGCACTTAAACCTGGGCCAGCCCTGTGGCACAGGGGTCAAGCGCTATGCAGCAGGCACTGGGTTCCACTAGGCTGACTACAGTTCAAGTCCTGTCCCCGGTGGCTTGAAAGACATGCTGGGTAGAGGATCGGTGAGATGGAGGGGAAGGGATTGCAGTGATCATGGCCCACTGGGGGGCGCTTTCTCTCTCCCTCTCCCTGGCAAGCACATACTCCCTCTGACAATGAAAACAAACAACTTTTAAACCTGAGATCACTGGGACCAGCCAGTGACATGGTGGTGAAGGCAGCTAGATCCCCTATGGCTGATTGCTTGGCTCGAGTCCTAGCATGAGAAACACACTGCAGGTGTGTGCCTGCCCGAACTCTCAAAAGGAGAGATGGAGGGGAAGGGGTCGCATTGGGGCCCTCCCCCATGGCACACGGTGCTTTCTCAATTTCTCCTCTCTCTCTTTCTCTGGTAAGCTTACACACCCTCTGGCGAAATTAAAAACAAACTACTGAGTTAACCATCTAAAAAATAAATTCAAAATGTTCCCATAAAATATGAGGATGAATTGCTTTATTTTAAGTTTGATAATCAAGGTGTAGGCAGGTGGTGTGGTGTTTAACGGCGCTGAACTCCCACATAGCCAACTGTGGTTGGAGTCCTGGACCTGGCAGCTTGCTTTCTAAGTCTCTCTCTCTCGCTCGCTCTCTCGCTCTCTCTCGGTCCCTTTCTGGTCAAATTAAAAATAAATAAAGTTAAATAATTATAAAACCACAAATCCGATAAGCAAATGGATAACATTCTAATTTCTGATTCTGCTTTCTTTCAGAATATACCTGGAACACAAAACCTGGTCGGGGGCAGTTTTCAGGACCCACTTTCAATCCTGCAGCAAAAAATCTCAATATCGTGAACCGGGCACAGCCAATTTCGTCTGTGCACGGGAGGACAGATTGGGTAGCCAAGTACGGAGGCCACCGGTAGGAGCCCCACAGCATCACCCCATGGAGTGTGTGCAAGGCCCCTGGCCCTGGGAAATGTCTACAGATTCTATTTCTACTGAGTTCTGGAAGAAATACGCAGTCGTGCGTACTACGAAGAGCAAAAATGATCTATTTTCTTTCCTTCCTAGAGACGAAATGCATCTTCTTAGCATCACTGCCCACAGTGCCGATAACGTGGGCAGGACTTTACAAAGTATTGAATAAACTATTCGCCAAAGTATCAAGTATTTCATCTACAAATAATTAGATCGTAAATATAGAAAGCTTTAAAAAAAAAAAAAAAAACAATGCCTCCAGAAAGTATGTGTTTAGAGTCTTTTCCTTCTCATTTATTGCATATTTGCCTAAACTATTGGACATTTCATCACTCCGCAGTGATTGGCCTGAAAACTCTGCGTTTTGTGTTTTCACAGCAGTTAGACCTCGCGGGCTGCCGGGTTTGGCTCAGGCGCTGCCCTCCCCCTGGGCCATGGCAGAAGGACCGCACCTCTCATTCGTTTCTTCTGGTTTGCAACTGTGGAAGCAGTGGTCATTCCAATGTTGGTCAGGATGTCTTTCTTAGGAGCAGGTTTATATTTAACACGGAATATCAACATTATCGGGTTGTTGGGCAAGTCATGACGTATTTTTGCATCTAAATACAGAAAGATACGTCAGGACTTCCCGACCACCTAAGATGGCACCTCGTTTTCGTGGAGGAGTGTATTGTTTGGTCTTGACCAACACAGCTGCTATGAATTCATGGTGACTATCAAACCCAGGGGTGGAGGACGTCCCTATTAACAAGGCAGCGTTCTCTTGTCTTCACGTCATTCAAACAGTTCTTGAAAGTGATGTTTGTTCGTCGGACTTTCAAAATACCTTGTTCCTGTGTTCCTGGCAGACACAAACATGAAGTGTACCAGCCGGTCCCCAAAGCGAACTCTGCTGCTCTGAGTCAGAGGTCACTGACTCACCTCTGACCTTCACATTTGCTCTGCGGAGCAAACGTGACGTCGACTGCTTTAGCGGTAGTTTAACAAGGTACTTATGTTTTCCTTAGTTTTATTCCGAAATCGGCATTTAAAGTAGACATTTTGAATTTAGGGCTGTTCTATTTAAACCTGCCACTTTATAGACTGTATATTCTTTTTAAAGAATAACGTTACCAGCTGTCGATGTTTTTACGTATTTTATGACTTGGTAACAAATGCTGATAAGTAACTGGTATCACCTCGTGGGCATTATCCAAAGACACATTATAATTAATAGTAACCTGGTATTTTTGTATAGGCGATTCAGCCGTTCAGATTTCAGGTTATTGAAACATGTTACAATCTAAAGACTGATTTGTCCTGGGGTAATGGTTCTGTGTATTCGTACAGTTTTAATTAATGTCACGAAGCTAAAAACTTATTTTGTGTTGCTGGGAAACTTTTAAATTCTGAATAGATATTAAAGTAAATATGGCTAACTGGTGCGTTTTCTTTATGTTTTTAAACTTTGTACCCTGAGACCCGTGTCTTATTCTTTTTGTTTTAACTGGTAGACTTGTGTTTTTCGTAGTTTTAGGTTTTCAGAACTATCCACCAGCAAATGCGGAATTCCCATCTTTGGAGAGATTTTCACTGTAGGGCGCATGCGCTCGCCAGACAGAGAGAGACATAGAGACATAAAGCGAGAAATCACCCCCCAGGGGAGATGGTCACGCTGCAATCCCTTCTCCTCCATTCTCCTCTCGGGATCTTGGGCACGCACGCACACGCGCCCGGCGTGAGTTCTAAGCCACCGGGTCCAGGACACGAACTGCGGTCGACTACATGGGAGTCCAGCGACATAGCCATTACGCTAACTGCTGGTTCCCCGGAATTCCCATCTTTGGGAAGGGAAAGATGATTATTACTAACATCTTCATCAGCGTGGTACGTTCGTTAAGGCTGGCTCATTATTATTATTATACTATTTTTTTTTTTGGAGAGGGTTTTGCTATAGGGAGTGTGCGCTCGCCAAAAAGAGAGAGAGAAAGAGACAGAAAGAGAGAAATCACCCCCCAGGGGAGATGGCCACACCGCAATCCCTTCTCCTCCATTCTCCTCTCGGGATCTTGGGCATGCACACACACACGTGCCCGGCATGAGTTTAAGCCACCGGGTCCGGGACTCGAACCACAGTCAACTACATGGGAGTTCAGCGACATAGCCATTACGCTAACTGCTGGTCCCCACTTTTCTCTTTTTTTTTTTTACATTTTTGTTGTAGGATGCATACACTCACCAGAGTGAGACAGAAAGTGAGAAATCACCCCCCAGGAGGGATGGCCACTGGGAAATCTCTTCTCCATTCTCCCTTTGGGATTTTGGTCACACATGCACATTATTTTGAAAGAGAAATTTTTGCTATAGGGTGTATGCACTCACAGGAGAGACACAGAAAGCGAGAAATCACTCCCCCCGCCAAGGGCAGTGGGGACACCGCAATCCCTTCTCCATTCTCTAGGAATTTGGGGCACACACACACACACACACACACACACACACACGCCCAGCATGAGTTTGAAGCTGCCAGTTCCAGGACTTGAACCGACTATGTGAGAGTCCAGCAACATAACCTTTTCACCATCTGCTGGTCCTGCCCCGCATGATTTTTAAGCCTCCGGGGACTCAAACCACGATCTGTAATGTGGGAATCCAGTGCCTTAACTACCGCACCATCTGCTGGCCTCAGAAGTTTAAAAAAATCCAACTCAATGTTCTTTCATGGACAGTGCTTCCGATGTACTTCAGGACTCACCACCATACCCAAGGTCACCCAAGACTTTCTCATACGGTGTCTTCTAGGAGTCAGTTTTGCATTTTACACTTGATGCATTTTTGCACAGAAAAATGTCATGACTTTTCCAACGACCCAATAGATGTGTGATTCACCTCAAGGTAATTCTTTCTGGGTTTTTGTCGTAGGGCATGTGCACTTGCCAGGATAGAGGGAGAGAGAGTGAGAAGTCACTCCCCCCACGTCTGCCTCTCTGCATAGTCAGATCTGCTGTTCTGCATTATAAAGTCTTTTCTCGCCACAAAATGGTAAAAATACTCACTTGCAGGATTACTTCAAACCGAGACAAAATAAGCTTGTGATCGAGCACACTGAAGAGTCTGCAATTAAATTTCCACCCTAGATCCTCGGTCTCTCAGCCATGTCTTCCTTACAAGACAAGTTTTCTATGCATTATTAGCATGGAAATGTATCCGTTTTTGGCACTCACCAACATAAACCGAAGCAGAGCAACCATAGCGTACACTTCGCTCTTCTACAAACCCTGCAGAAAACGGGCCGATTATGCACGTACTTCTGTCACTGCCTTCATTTTAGATGTCGCTCCTTCCACTAGACTCATGACTATTTTTTTTTAAAGAATTATTTAATGTAATTTAATTTGACCAGAGAGGAACACAGTGAGAGAGAGAGAGAGGAAAACAGAAAGCAAGCCGCCAGATCCGGGACCCGAAGCGAGGTCAGCCATGTGTGAGTCCAGCGCCCTTAACCATCACGCCACCTGCCAGCCCCGACTTTGTTATTCTTTGTACTTCCAGGACCCAACACAATCCTCAGGACAGTAGATACTTGGGAGATTTTGCAGGGAAGCCGGAGCAAGGAAGAAGGGTATATGAGCACCGCCAGGCTGTGAGGACCTACCACAGTCTGAAAAACCTCGTAGCTCTTCACTGGGGACCAGTCACAGCAATCTCTGCACCCCCAGCTAATCCCCACCTTCAGGAAATCTTGACATTCAGGGTCCGATGTTAGAGCTCTGTCCTAGGACTGAAGGTAGCTAATGGGGGTGCCCACTGGAAATACTCCAGGACATGAAAAAACAGAGTCAATATTCTAATTCAAAATTTGTGGAAGCTTGGGAAGAGGCCAGCTTCGGATGGCTGGTGTCTTCTGATGCCTGCATCCTTACAAGTGCCCTTTCCTGTCAAGTGGCTGGGTTTGGAGGTAGAAGACAAAAATGTTGACGAGGATTATTCTTTTTAGAGGTTTTTGCTTTAGGCCACATGTGCTCACCAGAGAGAGACAGAAACAATGAGAGGGAAAGTGAGAAATCACCCTCCAGGGGGGATGGTAACACTGCAATCCCTTCCCCATTCTCCTCCTGGGATCTTGGGTATGCACGCACATACACCAAGTATGAGTTTCAAGGTTCAGGGACTCAAACCATGGTCACCAGGTGGGAGTCCAGCAACATGACCACTATGCCATCTGCTGTTGCCCTTACACGGGGCAGTGTTCAGAGAGACAAGGACAGAGACAAAGGCCAGCTCTCTAAGACAGACAACACGCATTTCACGGCTTCCCACACAGGGGCCACCCGCCGGCGTTCTAACCATCCTAACGCTAAACTATGACCAGTTATTTTTTCCCCAAACATATTTCCATAAAAATCCATTTTTTTAAATATCAAGAAGATAATGTTCTATTTGATTTCCTTTGCCTCTTTCCTTTAGACTGTATATGACCAACAACTGAGATCAAAATAATCTGACGGGGGCCGGCAGGTGGCCTGGTGGTTAAAGGCGGCTGGACTCCCACAGGACTGACCACAGTTCGAGTCCCAAACCTGGCAGCTTGCTTTCTCACTTTCCTTCTCTCTGGTCAACCTCAAACAAAACAATACAAAACAAGACAATGAATGAAATAAAATTTAAAAAAATACTAGTCATCTGACAGATCAGGGTATGAAGCCAGTACACACATCATAGAACTGTTTGTAAAAGGATGTGTCTTCATTATTTGAACCGTAAATCTGGCACAACTTTATGATGAGAGGAAACTACTCACTACGCCAGGAACCATGGAGTAACTTCTGATCTAATCGAGGTATTGGTCAGTGCGTGACACTGAGCACCAATGTTTTCACTATAGGACTTACTATTAATAGCTACAAGTGGCAAACAGCCTGAGGTCTCAGTAGACCAAAATGGGATGAGATTGTCCAAAACTTACTTTGATCCTGGTTAGAAATGCAGAGTTCAGGGCTGGCCCACAGCCTAGTGGCTAACAGAAGCCAGGACACAAGTGGCTGACCTCAGTTCAAATCCCAGTCCCGGCAGCTTAAAAGACAAAGCAAAATACATTGGGTCTGTGTGCCCAAAATCCCAACAGGATGGAGAAGCTGAGAAGGGATTTTGGCATGATTACGCCCTGTTTGGGCGTGCCTCCTCTTTCACCCTCCCTGTGGGAAGCACACATTCCCTGTGGCAATTTAAAAGAAAGAGAAAAAGAAATGCACAGCCCAGAATACAGTCATACTCCACTCAGATAGTTTTGAGCACAGTAGTTTAAAAATGGCCGTCGGGACCAGCAGTTAGCGCAATAGCTATGTCACTGGACTCCCATGTAGCTGACCACGTTTCAAGTTCCAGACCCAGTGGCTTAAACTCACGCCGGGTGCATGTGCGTGCATGCCCAACAGCCCAAGGAGACTGGAGGAGAAGGGATTGTGGTGTGGCCATCCCCCCTGGGGGGTGATTTCTCATTTTCTGTCTCTCTCTCTCTGTCTCTGTCTTTCTGGTGAGCTCATGCGCCCTATAGCAAAAACCTCTCCAAAGAAAAACAAAAAAATGGCCCTGTCAATCTGTAACCATTCTGGGGGGTGACAAGGATGGTGAACTGTGAATCTGTGTCAAAGAACAAAGGATGAGGAAACAGGACCACTTCCAAGGAGCCTGAGAGAATCCATAAACTGCTGCAGTTAAGACTCTAAACTCGGCCCACACAGGTCAGGGTGGAGATCCGTGGCCAATGTCCTTTCCTTAACGTGAAGCAGGGGGCACGGGAGCGCCAACTGAGTGAATGCTCAATTCTGAAGAAAATAAAGTGAAAATAAACTAGTGTCCAGTAAATGTAGTCAATCTGCTATCAAGATGAAATAGGTAATTCAAGCTCTAGACGGGTCTGTTAGCTTTGCATTGACAGATGAACAGGTTGGCCAAACTTTCACTTTCTTCTTTTCTGCCACAGTCCTAATCCTAGAAATCCTCGCAGATCATTTTCAAAAAATGCTTCAATACAAAGTATAATCAAATAACTTTCCTCAGTCCTTATCAAAAATGGGTCATTCCTAAACACGGTATTAACAAAACACAGTTTCTGCATCTTCACTGCTAGCCACACCTCACTCTAAGTTCTACGAAGCTGAACAATGAAGACCTCACAGTAAACACTGTTCATAGTCAACTTTATTTCCATGAACATTTAGCATAATTCCAGGATATGCCTGTGCTCTAAGACAAGTGAAAGAACCGATGTCCGGAACCCCACCCAGAGATTTACTTCCATCGTCCTCTCAGCAGGGAATGGGGCTGCGGGCCCCGTGCGATGTCACCCCGTGCGGCTCCTGGGTTACATCCTTGTCATCTCTCTTGAGCTGTCATGATCACGATCGATTTTTCCCCACCGAGTTGCAGTTATTGTTTTTAAGTAAAATGTCAGAAAATGTAAAAACGCTTGCCCTTATTTCTCTGAATACCTTGAAAACAATGGAAGTCTGGAGATGTCTCCTTCTTCGTGAGCCCACGTGGGGATGTGACCATTACTGATGGGGTCGTAACATACTAATCCCAACTTTGGCGACCATCAGCAAACTGTTCAAAAGGAAAACAAAACAGGTCAGGGAGAGGACAGAACAAGTGACCTTTATCCCCACAGGAACCAAAGCAGCAGCAGGCTGGGGCCGGCAGGTGGTGTAGTGGTTAAGGGTGCTGGACACCCACGTGGCCAACTGTGGTTCAGGTCGCGAAGCTGGTGACTTGCTTTCTCACTTTCCCTCTCTTTCTCTCTCTCTCTCACTCTACCCTTCTCTGGTCGAATTAAAAAAAAAAAAGTAAATAAATAAAATAATTCTTTAAAAAAGAAAAGGCATGCTAGCAGACAGTCTTGTACAGAAGCCTTAAAATAGCACGTAAAAGGGGCAGGAAGGTGGCCTGATGGTTAGAGGCACTGGACTCCCACATGACCCACCATGGTTTGAGTCCTAGACTGGTGGCTTGCTTTCTTGCTTTCCCTCTCTTTTTGTCTCTCTGGTCAAATTAAATAATAATAATAAAAAAGTTAATTAAAATAATTTTTTTTAAAAAATAGCACACTTGAGCTGGAGTTCCTAATTCAACTGCCAATAACCTGAAGAGATGAAGAAACTGAAGGTGAGAAAGATCAAATCTCCCTGTGGTCTCCAGGCAACGAGTGGCAGGACACCAGCCTCCTGGCCTCCTGCCTTCACCTGGCCTACTCTGAGCTGGTGCTCACAGTGTAAAGAGTGCGCTTGACGGCAGTACCCTGTGTTCAGAGATGGTAGACGACCTTTCTCCCAAACAGGTTTTTTACAGTTCTCTTGCGTTAAGGACTAAGTTAAAAAAAAAATGTGAAAGGCTCGCATGTGGCATAGCGGTTAAGTCACTAGATTCCCACATGGCTAACTGTGGTTCAAATCCCGGACCCAGTGGCTTGAAACTCACACCAGGCCCATGTGCATGCATGCCCAAGATCCCAGGAGAATGAAGGAGAAGGAACTGTGGTGTGGCCATTCCCCCGCGGATTGATTTCTCACTTTCCCTCTCACTATCTCTGTCTCTTTCTGGTGAGCACACGCACCCTAAGACAAAAACTTCTACAAAAAAATTTTTTTTGATTAAGCTTTTGTAATAAAAAATTAGAGAACAGGATTCAAACAAAATTCCCTCTGGGCCTGGCCCCAGAGCATAGTTGTTAGGCCCTGTGTGTAGGGACCCACATCCCACGTGGTCAGCCATGGTTTGAATCCTGGGCCGGCCCTAAGGCTTGAAAAGTATGCTGGAGGTGTGTGTGCATGTCCAAACCCTGACGAGGTGAAAAGCATGGAGGAAAGGGATTAGCAGGATAGCCATAGTCCAGAGATGGCTTCTCTCTCTCTCTCTCTCGGGTAAGGGCATGTGCCCTCAGGTTAATTTAAAAAAATCCCTTCTCGCAAAAATTCCGGTAACAGGACAGTTACACAACTGAAATACAGAGCCAGCTGAAAGTCAGAGAGCTATAGTAAGAGCAGCTTTGCAATGAAGCGTCTGCCCTGGAGGGAGCCAGGATGGCCCAGAACACAGAGGTACAAGTGAACCATCTCCACGGTGAAAGCGCTTCCACACGAACACGGCTGCCCCTCCGCAGACCTTCCTGTTTGTGCATAGATGATGTCATTTCAACTGGGGCCTAGCATGGGGTTTACTGAAATAAGTACGTTTTTTAATGGATAAGTGTCTTCGGCGATAAACTAGGTTGGTAAGAACAGAATGGAAAGTACCTGGCACCCGCAATTAAACCGGCAGGCATGAATTTTCCAGAGTGGTAGAATCTCATTCCCATCACGCCAGCCAAGGTCCCAGATGCAGCTGATGAGAAAGACACAGGGTCAATATCATTGCATCTCACACGCAGGAGAAAAACAGAAATGCCCGCCTCTCTTTCGAGCCTCGTCCCCATCCCATAATTGTGTCTCCTTTCCCAGGTGTGGGGAAGCTGCAAGGCAGCCCACACCCTACAGGTCTAAGGGCAAACACTGGCCAAACGAGGCCCTTCCCAGCCTCCCAGTGCCGTGCAGTGCTTCCTCCACCTTGTGAGCTCTTCCCAGTGGGGACCGTCCAGGACACCTACGGTCCCACGCACTGCACCAGGTGATAAAGAACATGAGCAAACCCAAAAACTGTCTCTGCCTTTTTTACAGTGTCGAGTCTGATGAGACAGACTTAAGAATCACACAAATGAGGCCAGCAGGGGGCATCGGAGCTACGGTGTTGGATCCACATGCATGTTGGGTTTTATACAGAAATACAGGTCCCCTGCAGCCTCAGGTATCCATGGGCAAAGAGGACAGAAATGGAGGCTAGAGTGGGTCAGCTACATGTGAGAGAAGGAAATCCATACGATTGCTTATACGTAAAAGGACCGGTCCTGTAGCTCTGTAGTTAAGGGAACAAGATCTCCTGTAGCTGGGGACCAGCAGGTGGCATGGTGGTTAAGGTGCTGGACTCCCACATGGCTGACTCATGCTTTGAGTCCTGGACCTTATAGCTTGCTTTCTCACTTTCACTTTCTCTCTCGCTGTGCGTGTCTCTCTCTCTGGTCAAATTAAATGAATGAATAAATTAAATAATTCTTTAAAAAATATAAATAAATATAGATTTCCCATGGCTGACAAGAGTTCGAATCCTGGCCCCAGCAGCCTGCGAACTGCACCAAGCACGTGTGTGTGCCCAAAACCCTGACAGGAAGGAACAATGGAGGAGAAAGGATCCCGGTGCGACTGCACCCCCTCTGGGAGCGTTTTCTGTCTCTCTTCCTCACTTGCACACTCTCCAGCGACTACACATGCCCTCTGACCAAAAACAGTTACAAATCATTTTTCTGGGGGCTGGCAGGTGGCGTGGTGGTTAAGGCACTGGACTCCCACATGGCCGATCATGGTTTGAGTCAAGGACCTGGCAGCTTCCTTCCTTTTCTCTCTCTCTCTGGTCAAATTTTAAAAATAACAATAAAATATTTCTTTGAAAAAAAATTTTTTCTTAAAAACAACGGCTCTGAAGGGGAAGGAAAAGGCAAGCAACTGAAGCAGGAAGTGGGGTCACACGAGGTCCTGAAGTCCTTCTGTTTTTTACATGGGTGAGAGGTGAGCGCTTCGGAACATCGACGGGAGAGGTGCACCTTAAAGGGGGAATACGCCCGAGAAACAGAATCACTGGCGGAGCAAAGCTGTGGAGGAGGTGGGGGAGAAAGCCCCGATGGAGGACAGAGGCAGGCCCAGGGACGCCTGGAAGTGGCCTGCTGGAAGGGGGCCCCTGCTGAAGGCTGCTGTTCCTCCCACCCACAGGCAGGCGTGAGGTCACTTGCTGAGAGGGGAGGAGTGGAAAAGGGTGTCTGAAAGTCCTTCTGGAGCCTGAGGGAGGCAGCTGTCGGGTCGGCTGTGGGTGGCTGCTTCCTCCTTCCCCAGCACATCCCAGTCAGCTCTGTCCCCAGCCCATGGCCGACCGCACAGACCACTCTGCTAGCACGGCTCTTCTCCCTCCACACGGGTCACGGCAAGTTCTGCGTCTGTCCTCACACAGGGGTGTGGAGACAGGGAGATACTCACACTCCGAGGTATGAGACACATGGGTGGAGCCCAGTGAAAACGTGCCCAAAGCCACCCTGATAAGCTGCTCTCTCCCCGCCCCTGGTCGTCCCCAGGCCTGCAGCTCACAGGACACCTGCAAAGCTGCACTCTCGGCCCTGCCTTCCTGGCCCGTGTAAGGAGAAAGCTCCTTGAACAGGCCTGTGTCATATGTGTCCAGGTGACTGCTAAAGAGGGTAAGTGACTTCGAAGGGAAAAGTGGAATATTGATGCAAATCGAAAACAAGTGTATGACATTTAGGAAATGCTCAAGCACCTCTGGCGGGTCTAACGGGCCTGGTACAAGCACACTACCAATTTCACATTTCCTATTCCATACTTGAAAGATAAAAAGGAGCCTACACAATCCTACCCCTCCGTTCTACCCCATTTTAAAACTTCCCCAGCCTTGGCAGAAGCAGTGAAGCACAGAATGCAAAGAAGCTGTCACGTCCCACCAGATCAAGCCTTGCTGTGGAGCCCACTCTGGATATGTAACCGTACACACACTGACACGGACGTACCTAGGAAAACCCAGACGTTCCTCGGGTCCTGAGACAGCTGGTAGGCTCCCAGGCCTGCCAGCCCCCCGAAGAGGAGCCCAGCAGCCAGGGACGGCACACTACCTGGGAGAAGCAAATGCACACACCATTACGTTCCTGCTCCATTAACAGACTCCCCCAGACGCACCGCCCCTATAGAGGAAAGCTGCAAAGGGAATTCTCAAGACAGTTTATAACCAAGACGTTCTCAAGCAGGAAAGTGTTCTGGGGTGTGTGCTGTTTTTCAAGGAGTCAGTGTTCCCAGGACCAGCAGATGGCATGATGGCAAAATGGTTATGTCACTGGACTCCCATGTAGTCCACTGCAGTTTGAGTCCCGGACTTGGTAGCTTAAAACTCACACTGTGTGTGTGTGTGTGTGTGTGTGTGTGTCCAAGATCCCAAGAGGAGACTGGAGAACAGACTGTGGGGTGGCCATCCCCCCTAGGGGTGATTTCTCACTTTCTGTCTCTCTGGTGAACGCATGCACCTTATATGGAGAAAGGAAAAAAAACTAACAGAAATAAGTGTTTGCATCCCACTTCTCTATCCTCTGGCAGACAGGACTCTTCCCTCTATGGACAGATGACGAGCACATCTATTTAAGATCTCTCTTCAGAGGGAACTGTAGTTAGGCCTTTTTCCTATCAATGCCTGCTCAGCTCATCAAAGGGTGAAATTGTATGCAGATAAATCATGGAAATTATAAAAGAAGGGGCCAGTAGGTAGTATGGTGGTTTAAGGCACTGGAATTCCTACATGGACGACTATTGTTCAAGTCCTGGACCTGGCAGCTTGCTTTCTTCCTCTCTCTCTCTCTGGCAACACTCTTGTGAAAAAAATAATAATAAATAAATGGAATAAATAATTCTTTAAAATTTGGAGAGTAAGAATTCTGGTGTTCACTGGGGTGGGGATGCAGGCAAGGATGGGACAGAACCAAGTTTTCACTCTCGCCCCCACCTAGTTTAATGGAGAGACTTCACAAAACAAGTCAGCGCAGGCTAGAGACTTCCTTGCACTTGAAGACCCCACGGATGGCACTTCAGGGTCAAGGCTGACATATGGCAGTCGATGATAGTAACAATTTTCTACCACCCCACTATCTTTACAACAGTAACAATTTTCTGCCATCCCCTGGGGCCTATCTTTAGAACAGTAACAATTTTCCAGCAACCGCCTATCTTTAGAACAGTAACAATTTTCTACCACCCCGCCTATCTTCAGATAAACAGGCAAAAATAAGTGTCCGGATAAGAAGCCTGGTTCAGCCTAGTCAGATAACCCAAAGGCAGGTGCAGAGGATAGAGCCTGCGCTCACGCCAAGGGGCCTACCACGGACCTGATTCACTGAAGACTGCTCTTCAGAGACCCTGAGGACCCACTTTTCAGGGAAAACCCGAAGACTTTAAGAGGCTAGGTACAACCAGAGGATTACCTTGAGGAAGACTAGGAAGGAAGAAAAAGAGCCCGGTCTTTGCTAGCAGCTGGTAACCCACAGAATACTTGGGAGGCAGAGTTGAGCTGGGGAGGTTAACGAGTGAACTGTATGCTGGGGGGCTGCTTTTTAACAGTCTGAGCAGTTGCTATATAACTGTTTTCTCAAAATATTTCAAACTAGGGCCAGCAGGTGGCTTAGTGGTTAGGGCGCTGGACACTCCCACATGGCTGACCATGGTTCAAGTCCAGGACCTGGTGGCTTGCTTTCTCACTCCCCCATCCCTCTTTCTCTCTCTGTGCAAATTGAAATAAATCAATCAATAAAATTCAATAAATAATTCTTTTAAAAAATATTTCAAACCATACTGTCTCTGTTACGACAGAGGGGAAAAAAACACAAAATTGTAACAAATATTTTGAAAGTTATGTCAAAATTCAGTTTTCTGAAATTCTGAAAGTTGTTTATCTATTAACTGTCAAGAACTATGGAGTCTGAGCAAAAAGCTTTGATATGTAAAGTAAATCTTTGTGGAAAAATATAGAAAATAAATTAGAAGAGGTTACGCAACCACCAAACATACCTGCTTTTGCATAGCCAATGATCCCACCAGAAGCAACCAGTGCTGCGTAGCCAAAGCCAAACCAATGCAAAGGCACTCTGAAAAGGCAAGCGTGAGAAATCAGTACCAACTCTGTGTTAAAAGCAAACCTTACCGGGGCCAGCAGGTGCATGGAGGTAAAGGTGCTGGACTCCCAGATGGCCAACAGCGGTAAGAGTCCTGGACCTGGTGGATTGAATATCACGCCACGTGCATGCGTGTGCACCCAAAATCCCAGGAGGAGAGTGGAAAAAGGACTGCAGCGTGGTCATTCCCTCAGGGGGATGATCTCTCACTTTCCCTGTCTTTCTCCAGTTATGTGTGCCCTATGGCAAAAACCTAAAATAAAGTAAAACAAAACAAAAACAGTATTATCATAGTTTAGGACTAGAAGTCTCCAACCCAACTATAATCTATCACTGGACAAACGAAAACAGAGCCGGCAGCGGTTGGATGACCAATTACAAAACCGGTGACCAGCAGGGCCAGGACGGAAGCCCAGGTCCCTGGCCTCCCACACTGGCGCTCCCAGGAATGGCTGGGAAAAGGAACTATGGTGGTAGAAAGCTCCTGGCTACCCTGTCCCACAAGTTGGGCACTTACAGTGGGCCCGTGTCCTTCTCCATGGCTCTCTTCTCGCTCTGCCCAGACAGGAGACCACCAGGTCCAGGCCTGCACCTGTGGATCAGAGGTGGTTCAAGGCATAGCTCTCTGGCAGGAAGAAAAGAAGTGGGTCCCAGTCTTGGCTCTAGCCCTTACTTGGTAAGAAGTCACAGGAGGCCACCCAACCGCCCTAAGCCTATTGTCCTCATGGCCAGTTGTCCTCACGGCCACATGACAACACTGGCTCCAACTTCCTGGTGCTGCAGTGAGCATTCAATGGAGATAAGGAGAACTTGGAAAAAACACATGGAAGGGCCTGGCAGGTGGCATGGAGGTTGAGGGGTCGACTCCCACATGGCTGACCATGGTTCTGGTCCCCTCTCTCTGGTCAAATTAAAATAATAATAATAATGAATTTAATTATATATATATATAGATAGATAGATATAGATATAGATAGATAGATAGATAGATAGATAGATAGATAGATAGATGAAACAAGAAATAGAAAAATTATGTTAAAAATACATAGAAAAATAGAACTAAAGTATGAGCTTACTCTGGTGCAAAAGATTTTAAAATCCATGCATATTTTTTCATCACACACATTTTCCAAAACCTTCCTGAAGATCCTCATATGTAAAAGTGCTTATTATTAGCACACAGGAAAATACTGAATAAATACCAATCCTTTCTGAAAACACTTCAATTCTATTAACACAGGCTCACAGTAAAAGGATCAAGATTCTCTGCCCAACCTGTCTGTGCAGGTCAAGTTGTAGCCAAATGAGAACTAAACAGCAGCGAAGACTGTACTCCTGGGTCCTTAAGCCGCCTACTTTGGTGTCCCCTGTGGGAGGAGAGGGTGCAACTTTTCACCCCTTCCCCAAGAAGCAAATTATCTCCCAAAACTTTTAGAAATTTGCGCGCCTCCAACTCGTAGCTCTTGCTAAATTGGGAGGGCGCTGGGTGGATAAAATACAAGAAAGCCTGAGCCATAATTCCACGTGACACTGCACCTTTGGAAAGCAGTTCCTATTTTCTTAAAAAAAAAAAATTGTTTTTTCTATCCATTGCTCCTAACAAACCTGAAAACAATGCAAACCCCTTTCGTCCTCCTTAAACAATCAAGTTTGCATAAAAGCGGAACGAGGTGGGGGAGGGGCGGCTAGGCTCATGCCGCAAGTTATAAACTCAAGCGGCACCGAGTTACCGACTTCTTAACGACAGGGCCAGCAAATAAACCGACACTGCGCGGCCGCCGCACGCACTCCCTCAAGGGCTCAGGGGTCGGCAGACACTGCGCGACGCGGGAAGCTCGAGGCCCCGCCGCCGCCCGCGCCTGGATGGGAGGGCGGAGAGCGGAACGCAGGGGAGCCTCCTAAATAACCTCTAAAAGGCCAAGCAGGGATACCACCATAATAATAATGCTCCAAGTACACGAACCGCTTTCCCGAAGGTCTGCGTCGGTGAAGGACAGCGCGCAGGCGGCGACTGGAGGACTCAAGGTCCCGACGGAAACGTCAGGGCGTGCGCTCTGCGTCCCGGGGCGGGGCTCCGGGTGGGCGTGGTCTGTGGGCGGTAGACCCGGCGTGCCGGCAGGAGGGTTTGCAGAGTCTGGGCCTTTACGGAGTTCCCAAGGCTCTCCGAGGACCGGGCCGGCCAACATCAGTCCCAGCCCGAGTGTCCAGAGTGGCCAAAAGCCGGAAACTGCGTTTGAATTTGGTCTCGCAAGCGGGAGCTGGGCCAGGCCTGGGCGTTAAGGTCACCAAAGCGGGAGGAAGGAGTCCACGTGCGGATTCTAAAGAATCCGGTTAATAGCGGGGCACGTGACCAAGTTGTAAAACAGAAGCGGGACATTCAGGATTGTCACTGTAGCCTGATCACGTTGTTTGATTACAACAGCCAGGGGCTTTTTTTTTTTTTTTCATTATCCTAATTATTATTTTTTATTGACAACTCATAATTATACATATTCATGGCAGTACTGCGTGATTTGTTTTTGGAGAGGTCTTTTTGCCAGAAAGACAAAAAACGAGAAATCACTCCCCCATGGAGGATGGCCACTCTGCAATCCCTTCTCCTCCAACCGGCATGAGTTTAAGCTACCGGGTCCAGGACTCGAACTGTTGTCAGCTACATGGGAGTCCAGCGACAACCATTAAGCCTCTGCTGGTCCCACTGTGATTTTTTTTAAAAAACAAGAGTACAATGTGCTAATGATCAATTTGAAATAATTAGCATATTCATTATTTCAAACTTTTTTATCATTACTTTTGTAAATCTTCTTTTGGTTACTTTGAAATACAGCCAACGCTGCAGCCTAGGGTTGAGGGAGCAGATTCCCACTGGGCTGAATGTGGTGGTGTGTGTGTGTCCAAATCCGGACAGGATGGAGAAATGGAGAAGGGACTGCAGTGTAAACAAGTTCCATGGGGGGGGGGTCTTTGTCTCCACACATACCCTCTGGCAATTAAAAAGAAAAACAGAAGTTACTGTTAACTATAGGTACCACCACGTGGTATAGAACACTGGAACTTATTTCTCTTACTTAACTGAACCAAAATCTCCCTACATCCCCATATTCCCCCTCCCCCAACCAAGGAATGGACTACTTTCTATCTGCAGAGAATATTGGGCTGGAAAAATGTAGCTCACTGTGGTGCCTGTTTGCTTTGAGAGGTGAGGCTGCTGGAGAAGCATCTCAGAGGGAGAGAGAGCAAATTAAATGTAATTCCCAACTACCCCAGTGGACCTGTGGGCACAGCACACACCATCTGTACCCCCACCTCACATCTGCTTCTCTTCCCTGCGTTTCCTTCCGCCATTCATTCAACTGCTCTACTCTAAACTATGACGCCATCTCTTACTCTCCCTTTCATTCATCTCCTTCAAGTATCAACATGGATAGATTCGTAAATAATTCCATAATTTTCCATGAATAAAGCAATTTACAGGTCACACATACTCTTATTCTTTTTTAAAGAGAGATTTTTGCTATAGGGCACACACACTGGCTGGAAAGAGAGAAAGCAAGAAATCACTCCCTGGGGAGATAGCCATACTGCAATCCTTTCTCCTCCTTCTCTTGGAATTTTGAAAACGCATGTACACTCTCCCAGCATGAAGTTAAGCCACCGGATCCAGGACTCGAACTGCGGTCAATTACGTGGGAGTCCAGTGACGTAACCATTACACCATTTGCTGGTCTCCCAGCTCGTGCATATTCTAAAGAAAAACTGCTCTTGAAGTAGCATTTACCTTTGATGTAGCAAAATCGAAGCCATGTTTATCATAGCTGATTTTGTGCAGCCAAAGCAGATAATGACTAAGAATCTGTAGCTATTTCAGTACGCCAGATCTTCACCAATTAAATGGAAAACTTTTCTGAATGAGACCAGTTCTGAATGCAAGGTTTAAGGGCTCATTTCCAATGGATTTAGGACCTCATTCTTTCCTGTGCAAGCTTCAAACACGTTATATCCACTATGACCGTCCCCCATTCCCCTCTAAAGAAACTAGACCTCAGAAAATCAAGTATGGGGTACCAGCAGATGGCGAAACAGTTATGTCACTGGACTCCCACATAGTCAACTGGGGTTCAAGTCCTGGACCCGGTGGCTTTGATTGGTCTTCAAAGAGCTGAACAGATCCACCATATGACCCAGCAATTCTTGTCTTTGGTATATATCCAAACAAACTGAAAAACAGACTCAGACATTGGTATGCAACATTATGTGCAATAGCCAAAACATGAAAACCCAGGTTTCAGCCAACAGATAAACGGCCATGCAGACTGGGGTATTTGCAACAATGGCGTATTACCCATAAACAGTACTGGAGGTGTGACACACCACCAGGACACCCGGAAAACACTACGGTAAGTGAAATTCGCCAGACACAAAGGAGAAATACAGCACGGAGAAGGAACTGCGGCATGGCTATTCCCCCTGGGAGGGTGATTTCCTGCCTTCTGTTTCTCTGCCTCTCCAGTGAGCACACATGCCCTATAGCAAAGATCTCTCTAAAAAAAAAAAAAGTAATGGTAATAATAAAAGTAATAATTCTTAAAAAAGAGAAAAAAAAAAAACACCACTATTTGCAGATTACTTAACTATCTACACAGAAAACCCTAACAAGGTCAGCAGACGGTGTGGTGGTTAAGATGGCAAGATCCCACATGGCTGATTCCATGGTTCGAGTCTTGGACCTGGCAGTTCCAAAAACAAGCAAGGCACTGGTGCCTGTGTGCCCCAAACCCCAAGAGAATAGAGGAGGGGACTGCTGCATGTCCATCCCCCATAGGGAGATTTCTGAGTTTCCCTCTGTGTCTTTCCAGGTAGGAGAATGAAGGAAAAGGGATTGCTGTGTGGCCAATCCCCACCCCCTGGGGGTGATTTCTCGCTTTCTGTCTCTGTCTCTCTTTCTGGTGAGTGCACCTGCCCTCTCCAAGAAAAAAAGAAAGAAAGAAAGAAATGTGTCAATCTATGGTCTTAGTACGAAACGTATGGTTGTTTCATACATATTTTACATATTTAGTTTTTACATTTCTTTTAATACACTTCCTAATACGAAAATCTTTATATCTTTCATTTCCAAAATGAAAGAAGTTTATATTTAAATGACTAGAATTGGGGCTGGCCCTATGGCCTGGGGATCGGAGAAAGCCAGATTCTACATGTTAACTGCAGCTTGAATCCTGGCTCCAGTGGCTTGAAAAACCCATCAGGCACATGTGCACGCACACCCCGAATCCCCACAGGGTAGAGAAATGGTGAAGACAGGATTGCCGTGTGGCCACGCCCTGCCAAAGGGTGCTTTCTTCCTCTCCCTCAATTTGTTTATGGCAAAAAAAATTTAAAAATTAGTAGAACCACTCCAAGAAGCCAAGTAAGGAAAATTTATCTTTTTCTCCCATTTAGGAAAAACATTTGAAAACAATTCTTTTATCTACCTCTGATAAAAAATATATTCAAGATCTTATATTACTTTAAATTACAATATTTTGAGAAAAACCTTTGCTTTGCACAACAGTAAAAATAATAACACTACACAATAACATTATATGCCTGATACAAAATATCTGCAAAAAATAATTTTATCGCTATTTTTAAAAACCCTACCTAAAAGCAGTTTTCACACTGCTCGTTTTCTCCAGAAGAAGAAATTCCTTGGTTTAGCTCTGTGGTGCACCAATGACACGCAATGCAAAGAAACTGGGATCCACGTGGCAACCACAGTTTGAGTCCCCAGGCTGGGTAGGCTAGACACATGTGTGAACGCCCAGGATCCAATGGATAGGAGGACTGGAAGGGGATGAGGCGTGATCAGGCGTGTAGAGAGTATGTTCATCTCTCTCCCTCTCTCACGTGTACACGCATGCACTCTATTATGAATAAACAGAAAAATGTTTTTAAAAAGAAATTCCTTGCTTTCACTCAAAAAAAAAAAAAAATATTAGGTATACAGTTTTTGAAAAGAATAATTCCATCTAAGAGTTGTCTTGAGGAGGAGAGATCTGGGATTCACTGCACTGGTTTTATTTTCTGCTTTTTTCTCTTCTTCTTTTCCAACATTTCTACCGTTTTCCTCTTCTTGCTTGGCACCAAAGCATTCCCTCTCACTGGCTCATTACCATTGCTAGTCAGGCCGCACTCCTCTGTGCTGGGCTGCGGGAGCGCCCCTCCTTCCTGCTCTCTGGCGCCCAATGCCTTCGTGTTGACGCTGGACTGCTCTTCTTCACTTACTGAAACAAAGAAGTGGCACATTTAAAGACCGCCCCTTGTAACGACAGACAGGCTGACAATAAAGTCAAGTTGTTCGGAGCTCCTCTACTTGGACAATGCAAGAGCTAACAGATTATGCAAATTTTGTAAACAATCAATTTTATTTACCAGAGGAAGGCTCTGCAGCGGGTGGAAGGCTTTCTTTTGTGTCTGTCACTGTGTCCAACCACACTCCAAGACATGTGAGCCTGGCGTGGGTGTTTACTTCGCAGAGTAAAGACGGGGGGACTTTCTGAAACAGAAAAACGAAAATTCGTAACACGGCTAACAGAGGAATTTACATAATTATTTGTATTTCTGCACATCAAGATCTTAATTAAAAACTTACTCCTTTTCTTGAGTATAAAATGTGGTATTTAAAAGTAACTTATTATCCTGACTGCCACTCACAGAGAAGTACCAAGTAACTGTCGATTTTAAGGAAAGGGACCATGTCTTGTGCATGTCTAGGCTGCAGCGAATAAGCCTGCACACAGCAGATACTCAGTAAACAGTACTCCCAGAACATGGTTGAGAGAATGAAGGATAACCAATAACATAAGGACACTACAGAAAGGAGTTTAATTTTTCAATTATTTGGTTCAGAACTATATTTATTTACATAATCTATTAGGAACTTCTAAACTGTTTTTTAAAAAAAAAAAAACAATTATTTTATTTAACTAACTTTCTCTTTCTTTTAATTTACCCAGTGAGGGACAAAGTGGAGAGGAGGGAGTGAGAAAGCCAGCTGCCAGGTCGGGATTCCAACCGTGGTCGGCCATGTGGGAGTCCAGAGCCCTTAACCACCATGCCACCTGCCAGCCCTCTTCCAAACTGTTTTAAGCAACAGCAGTACCTCCCATCTTACAGAGAAGCCTACCACATGAAGAGAGGAAAGTAGAGCTTCTCCTATTTTCAAGGAGCAAGAGGCAGTTCTAGGATCCTGCCAGCTGAGATTCACAGATACCAACTCCTAGTGTGGCCCTGTGGGACCTTCGCTTTAAAAACCATTAACATCAATCACATCTGGAAGAGATTTAGAAAGTTTATTCAGGGCCAGTCCATGGTGTGGTGGCTAAGGCGGCTGGATCCCACATGGCTGACTATGGTTTAAGCCCCGGACCTGCAAGCTTCAAAAACACAGCAGTGTTAGCGTAATGGCTATGTCGCTGGACTCCCACGTAGTCGACCGCGGTTCGTGTCCCGGACCCGGTGGCTTAAAACTCACACCGGGCGCGTGTGCGTGCGTGCCCAAGATCCCGAGAGGAGAATGGAGGAGAAGGGATTGCGGCGTGACCATCCCCCCTGGGGGGTGATTTCTCGCTTTCTGTCTCTATGTCTTTGTCTGTCTGGCGAGCGCACGCGCCCTACAGTGAAAATCTCTCCCAAAAAAAAAAAAAACACAGCAGTGTTTATGAGGGTGCTCGAAATCCACCGAGGAGAGAAAAATGGAGGGGACTGAAGCATGACCACTCCTCATGTGTGTGGGGGGCCCTCCTGTGAGTGTATGTGTCCTTTGGCAATTAAAAAAAGAGAGAGTAAAAGCAAAAAAGTTGACCAAGGCTATGTTTGGGGGCAGCTAGCAGCACGGTGGTTAAGGCAGCTGGATCTCACAGGGCTGACAGTGCAGCCCCGGACCTGGTGGCTTAAAAAACACGCAGTGCATGAGTGCCTGTGTGCTGAAAACCTCGAGAAGAACAAAGGAAAAGGGACTACGGTGTGGCCATCCCGCCCTGGGAGGTGCTTTCTCCCTTTCCCTCTCTCTGGCTCTCTGTCTCTCTCTCTCTCCAGTGAGCACATGTACCCTAGAGCAAAACTAAGAAAACCAAAACATGTCTTCTGACCCTAACAAATATCCTACTGGGCCCAGCAGGTGGCATGGTAGTTGAAGCAAGCGCTGGACTCCCTCATGGCTGGTCACAGCTCAGGTCCCAGACCTGGCGGCTTGCTTTCTCACTTTCCCCCCCTCTCTCCATGTCTCTCTTCAGTCAGATTAAAGAACAATAATAAATAAAATTTAGAAAAAGAAAATTCTACTTAACTACCTTACTTAACTCGGTCATACCTATAACGAGACGTGCATTAAAGCGTATCTGTGCTGTGCTGACACTGACCTGATCCTGCTGAAGTGGACCCGAACCGTCTCCTGCTGAAGCTTCCACATTTTGATGAAACCATCATTTGATGCTGTGACCATAACGTGATACTCTGGAATCTCAAAACTGCACATGTCTTTTACCCTAGGGTAGAAATACCAACATCATGAAAGACTGTTTTTCCCAAGATGTGATACTGTTACAAAACCACAGTTTGTTGCTTTTTCTTTTTATCTTTAAATATCACTTATGACAATCCCTTCTCCATTCTCCTCGAGATATTAGGCATGCAGGCAAACACACTAGGTGTGATGTCAAGCTGCCAGGCTGGGACTCGAACCACATTCAACCACGTGGGAGTCTAGTGCCTTCACCACCATGCCACCTGCTGCCCCAGAAGTTGTTTCTTTTTAACCTTAAAGCCTCACTCCAAAAACTCATCTACATATCCAAATTACCCTGTTATTCATTAACCATGACACCTTTCCGTTTCCTGCCTACTGGCCTGCTTACTGATGTACGATCTACTGACACACTCGACTTCCTGTTCACTGAACACCCAGGCCGGCCCTTCCTGTGGATGGTCACTGAATACTTGAATGAATGGGTAAATGAATGGCCAAGTATCCTCAGTGTAGCACAGTACATAAATATCATAATACATTTGCAATGGCCTTCCTGGGACCAGCAGTCGGGACAATGGTTATGTCCCCAGACTCTAACATGGCTGTTTGTGGTTTGAGTCCTGGACCCAGAGATTTGAAACTCATGCCAGGTGCGTGTGCATGTGTGCCTGGCCAAAATCTCGAGACTGGAAAAGGGATTGTGGTGTGGCCATAAGTTATGTCTTATGACCCTAAAAGAAAAATTCTACTGTGGTCATCCTCCCTGGAGGATGACTTCTCATTTTCTGTCTCTCAGTCTCTGTCTCTCCGGCGAGCGCACATGACAAAAATCTTTAAGAAAAGAAATGGCCTCCCTGGGAGAATGTGCTTACTTCCTGATACAGGAAAAAGAAAATAAAGCCTATGTTAGGGGTCTTCAGAGCACACAGGATATGTGTATTAGGAACAAACTAGGCACAGATTTCAAATTTTTCTTTGCACCAAAACAAACTTGTACTTTAACTCCACGGCTCCACACGCTTTTCGAAGCCACCCCGTGTACTACTGCACTTGACCGTTATTTAGAAAATAAGAACCAAGACTTATCTGAGACGTAGGGCATGAAAATGACACACGTCAAGGTATCACGCTGTGTATGTCGTCACAGTTACAGCAGAAGTCAGGGCCGTCACGGGTCAGGCAGACGTGGACTGGGCTCCCAGCTCCATTATCTGAGGGTGCGGGGATCTTGGCCAAGTCGCTAAACTAGGTCCCTGACACTCAGTGCCTGCCCCACAGATACAGCAGACATTGAGAGGTGCTAGGGCGCAGCATCAAACGGGAACTTGGTAACATTTCCTTTCCCCCAAGGAGAAAGAACAGTGTGGAGGAGGGAAGACATGGGAGGAGATGATCGAGGGCAGAGTGATCAGAGAAAAAGCTCAAGACTGTTTGGTGTTTTATTTGTTCAAGAATGCTGGATTTCAGGCCCCAGACTAACAGCTTTATTAATTTATTTTTTTAGTTTCCTGCCTCATGGCGCATGCACTCTCTGGAGAGACAGAGAAAGGGGAAGTGGGAAGTCATCCTCTGGGGGAATGGTCATGGCGCAATCCCTTCTCCTCCAGCCTCCTTTTGGGATCTTGGGCATCCAAGTACACACGCCTAGTGTGATTTTCAAGCTGCCGGGTCTGGACTCAAACTGCTGTCAACCACGTAGAAGTCCAACGCCTTAATCGCCACACCACCTGCTGGCTCCCTAATGGGCTTACTTGAAAAATAAAGATCCCGTGCACATGACTAGTCCCGATCACAACCTCACACCTCTGCACGACTCCCTCCAGGAAGACAACATTTCTTACCGTCTTGACTCCAGCTATCACACACACAGATATGTCTGCAGCTGTTGGCATAAACACACATCCTGCACTATGAAGCTCTTACACTCATGACACTTATATTTTAGACCACACACACACAAAATGGTTAAAAAAAAAAAATACCTGTTTTCATGAGCTTTAAATTCACAGAGACACAATTGTGAATCACAGTCAAAAAGCCTTACAACTTCTTCATCTCCAGCCACCGCAAGGACAGATTCCTGAGAGGAAAAACCAGAATGTCAGCGATTCTCGGCATCGCCCTAAACGTGGCCTCTGACCTCCAATTACTTACTGAGAGGAACGTAACAGACGAAACCCTCTTCTCATTTGTGATGGTGCCACTAATGGACGCAGTGTCAAGGTGATAGATGTCGATTTTATTCAGGATGACAACCACGTATTTCTCTCCTTTAGGGGACCATTCTACTATGTGAGCATCTTAAAAAAAAAAAAAAGAAAAGAAAAAAAGTTTACTTATTTCATAAATAAAATACAAAATGACCAGAGTTACAAAAAGAAGGGAATACTTTTAGAAAATTTAATTCGTGGGCCCACAGAATCATCAAAGGTCACAGAGCTCATGGGTGGGGGAGCCACGAGAACTGAGATCTCAAGTGGGAAAAAAAAGTAACCTCTAACATTTGCTCTCAGGGGTAACCACCATCAGGCAGAGAAATTCATGCAGACTGCAGCTCCGCCCACACATGAGAATGTATGCACATGTATACATATTTCGCCAAATTATTTAAAAATACATTTCAAAGAAAATTACTCACTTTGTTTTATATTTTTTATAAATGCAGATCTTCCTTCCACAAGATTCCATGTTCTGCAAAACAGGAAGCTCACTGATGACATCATCAACTAACTTCTCCTAACTATAGCAGAGTAGGTGCAGAGACTTACTCAAACACTGGCTAAAGGACCTGCATCTTTCTTACAGCAACATCTGCAAATGTTTATTATTTTACTTTATTTATTTAACTCACTTGCCAGAAAGTGCATGTGCACAGAGATCCAGAGAAAGCCCTTGAAATATCTATCATCAGGCAGAAGTAGAGCCCCTTCTGTTCCCCACCCCTTTAATGTCATTGTATCTATTGTATTTTCAAAAGCTTTTACCTTCTACAACATTCCTTCTAGGATGACCCACCCTTTAGCTCACACCGCACAATCAAGGGGATGCAAGCGTATCTGAATACCGAGTATGTCATTTTTACCCTACTGTGGTGAAAAGGCTCACTAGCTTTCTACCTTGCCCCTGTATCCCAATGTATTTAAAGGGCTGAAAGTAGAGAAAGAGTATCTAGTTATTGTAATAAAAGACCAACTTAGGGGGCCAGCAGGTGGCATGCTGGTTAACGCACTGGACTCCCACGTAGTCAACTGTGGTTCGAGTCCCAGACCTGGTGGCTTGCTTTCTCACCCCACCCCCCACCACTCTGCTGAGCATATATGCCCTATAACAAATTAAAATAATAATAATTTAAAAATAAAATCCTATAAATAATTATTTAAGAAAAAATAAAGACCAACTTAGTAAGGTTGCCCTTGGATGCCCACTTACCTTAATGTCTTATCTGTACCAACGGACAGGGCCAATTTGCCGGATGGGTGAATAGAAAGGAAGGTCACGTGTCCCCTAGAATGAAACTGACAATTAGCCCCAATGTGACCAGCTCACCGAGAATGCCAACAGGCAAGAGCTGGACTCACTTGTGAGCTCTGATTGACTTCAGGCATTCCCATTTCTTTGCATCCCAGACACAGATGAGTCCGTCTTCAGCTCCACTGATTAAGTGCCGGTTGCCATAGAATTTCAGGCAAGTTATTGTGCCTGTGGAGAAACCAAGACAGGAAAACTGCATTCATTCCGAACACGGACTACAACCCCGGTCTGAAAGCTATGCTGCAGTGGATCAAACATCCAATATCTTGGGATTAGGGTCATACACCTTGAAAAATACCTTGAAGAAATATTCCTCATATAAAATATAAATATTTTCAAGTCTAGACGAACATTTTCAGCAGAGTTTTCATGGTTGTAGATATATATTTAGACTCATGAGTTTCTTTTTGTTTTGTCCCCATAATTGTAAATTTAGCAGATGACTCACTAGGATAATTTGAACAAGAGTCATGCAAAACTAACTGGCTGACCAGCTAATCCAAGCGATAAACTGAGCTGTACAGTGATGGCTTCTACTTTCTAAACAGCGAGCTGGCTACTCCCCCAGCTGCACCAGGTCATCACTGCTCCAGGGACGCTCTGATCTGATTTCTTTCTTTTTTTATTGCCAGAGGATATAAGTGTGCATACACACTCCTACTCCAACAGGATTTGGGACGCAGATGTTCAATATTTTTCAAACCACAAGATTTGGGATTTGAGGGAACCAGCAGTTAGCGTAATGGCTATGTCGCTGGACTCCCACGTAGTCGACCGCGGTTCGTGTCCCGGACCCGGTGGCTTAAAACTCACGCCGGGCGCATGTGCGTGCGTGCCCAAGATCCCGAGAGGAGAATGGAGGAGAAGGGATTGCGGCGTGACCATCCCCCCTGGGGGGTGATTTCTCGCTTTCTGTCTCTATGTCTCTCTCTGTCTGTCTGGCGAGCGCACGCGCCCTACAGTGAAAATCTCTCCAAAAAAAAAAAAGATTTGGGATTTGAATCAAGTCAGCCACGTGAGATCAGGCTCCCTTAACCACAGTGCCATGAGGCCTGCCTTTAATTCCATTTCTACATTTTCATTCACTGCCATGAGAATCTATTGGAAAAATGTTACAGAATTACAGGAGTCAGCTACTCCCCCCTGGAGCCTCCTGTCCATGGTAACTGTTCCTTCATCTTTTCAACCTCTTCATAAATTCTCTTTCTTTCTGCCAAAAGTGAAGCCTGGATCTCCCACATATTTCCTCTACTGCTCAAATGTTAAATGGCTTCAGGGGCAGGGCCAGGGGCAGGGGCAGGAGGTGGAGGGGAATCTCGTGGTGAAGGAATAAATCAGCACTCTAGCGCTCACGAGCAGCCCATGCCATGATACCAAAAGGTTTCTGGGGGCTGGACAGTGGCACAGCAGTAAAGGGCCATGCTCCGTGAGGCTGACTCACACAAGAGGGTTCCAGGTTCGTGTCCAGAGACCTCCCTGAGTCATCAGGGCACATGTGTGTACATCAGCTAAGGCAGGCCGATGCTGGGGGTGGGCAAGACATCGGAGTCTGATTTGGGACTCTCTGTCTCTGTTGCTCATAAAAAAGGTAAACTTGGGCTAGCCAGTGGTGTGGTGATTAAGGCAGCTAGACCCCCGGCAGACTGAGCAGTTCGAGTCCCAGACCTGTGGATGCCCAAAATCCCAAGAGGAGACTAGAGAAGGGACTATAGGTGGCCATCTCCCCGCGGAGGTGATTTCTCATTTTCTCACTCTGGTGAGCACACGTGCCTTACAACAACAACAGAGACTTTTAAAAAGTCTTTTTTTTTGGGGGGGGGGGGGGCTGGGGAGAGATTTTTGCTATCGGGGGTGTGCACTCACCAAAAAGACAGAGACAGAGGGACAAAAAGTGAGAAATAACCCCCTAGGGGAGACGACCATGGTGCAATCCCTTCTCCTCCACTCTCCTCTCGGGATCTTGGGCACACATGCACACATGCCCAGCGTGAGTTTAAGTCACTGGGTCTGGGACTCAAGCCACTGTCGAATACATGGGAGTCCAGCGACATAGCCATTATGCTAACTGCTGTTCCCCTAAAAATGTCATTTTAAGCTCACCTATTAACTATTAGAAACACAAGACTTCTGCCAAGGAGGAAAACATGAACCCTACTTCATTCATCCCTCACTCAAATGCCTTCATCAGTAAGCCTTTTTCTCTTGTTCAACACACGTACTAATGAGTTTGAACAAATCAGGTTTATTCACCTTATTTCTTCCAAGCCTAGAAAGAAACCTTCCTTGTGTGAACTGAGACTAGAAAATAGGAGAAATAAACATATGTTGAAATCACCCAATGCCTAGCCTCTGCTAAAGAGCAAGACACTTGTCAAAGTAGCTAAAGACTGTCTACTAAAAGGCAAACGCTTATCACTCCAAACATACTCTGAAGTACAAGAAAGTCAGGTGGAACAAAACGGCATCTTTGCAGGAACCCATCCTTCATAGCTATATTTCTCCAAAGTACAGTCATTCCTTGGTGTCCATGAGGGATTTGTTCCAGGACCCCGTGAATATCAAAGCCCATGGCTGCTCCAGTCCTTATGGCTAAGAGTCCTATTTTTTCCCCTTCTCTGTAGCTCTTAGCACAGAATCTAATATATAAGTGACACTTAATGAATTGTTCGACGGAAGTCAAATTTTACAGGAACAATACCGCCACGCTATTATCGTGAAGGAGATGATTTTCTCACCGTTATGGTGCACTAGGGCCCCATGGTCTGTCTTCTTCTTCATGTCATAAATGTGGATCGTTTCATCTTTGCTCCCCGTGACGAGGAAACGACTGTTCACAGCTACTGCTGACAAGGAGGCCGTGTGGGCGTGGTGAGTGAAGTCAGCCGCAGGAGTCCATTTCTGCTGGAGTAAAACAGTCAAACCAGTCACAGCCTAACTCTGCAGAAACAGACAGACGGTTCCCCACTCCATGAAAACTACCCATGGATTCGACAAATGGAGGTGCCACGATAGTAGATTAACACCGACCAACAAAGAAACCTTACACTTGAAAAGGGAAAATAAGCCAAGAATGTGGGAAGGCAGTGCACGGTTATGGAAAAGACTTTAAGATCTCACCCAATCCTTTAATTCTTCATTTATTTACTTACACATGAGACTTCCACACTGATTCATTCGAATGCCCAGATGTTTACTGGAATCTAGTCAAACAAGGAACACCTACTATGTCTTAGCACTATTATACGCAGTTGATATACAACAGTGCACAAAAATAAAATCCCTATTATTACTCTAGATTCACGATAGCGTATGTGTGCACACACATGAGCGTGAAAGAAAGACAGAGAGAGAAACACCCTCCAGAGGGTCTGGTCATGCCACAATCCCTTCTTTCAGTTAGATCCTGGGAGATGGCAAGCATGTTCAGTGTGCTTCAGGCTGCTGGGCCTGGGGATCCTGACCGCTGTCAACACATGGGCTGCAGATTCTCCTGAGCAATGCATTACTGCTGTGCTACAGAGCGGGCCCCAAAATCTCTATACTAGTGGAGTTTCCATTCCAACGGGGAGGCAGAAAACAAACAAATATGCTGTCACATACAAGCACGACAAGTCCTATAAAGAAAACTAAAGAGAGGGAACCAGCAGTTAGCGTAATGGCTATGTCGTTGGACTCCCACATAGTCGACCGCGGTTCGCGTCCCGGACCCGGTGGCTTAAAACTCACGCCGGGCGTGTGTGCGTACGTGCCCAAGATCCCGAGAGGAGAATGGAGGAGAGGGGATTGCGGCGTGACCATCCCCCCTGGGGGGTGATTTCTCGCTTTCTGTCTCTATGTCTCTCTCTGTCTGTCTGGCGAGCGCACGCGCCCTATAGCGAAGAAACCTCTCCAAAAAAAAAAAAAAAGAAAACTAAAGAGAGTAGATGCTACGTGTCCATTCGTACCAACATACGCCCTAGAGAAGTCAACAAGGATGAGATCCCAAAACCCCTATGCTTAGCGTCATGTAACTTTTGCATAAGTATGACTGGATGAGTTCCAATGACAGCAAATTACTCCCCTCCCCGCAACTGAAAACACAGCAAAAACTATTAGAGTAAACCAATGAAGAAAAACCTACCAAACTTCTTTGAACATCTTAAGGCAAATACCTACAGAAAGTCCTAAATAATTACAGTACCAGACAGGCCTTCCATCAATCAAGACTAAGGGGGGGGTCTTTTCTGAGTCCAGATACAACAGCACTGAGAGGCTGCTGTGGCCCTATTCACATGGCAACAGTAATAATGGTGGTTATCTAGGCTATGCTGCAGATGGAGAAGCAGTAACGGGTACGAGCTTCCAGTATCAGAGACACTTCCTTAATCAATTACTAGCTGTGTGGCTTTGAGCAGTCACTCGACCTGCAAGTGGCAGCTTCCTTCATGGTCTGTACACAGCGTGTCTATCTTTTTTTCTTTAGGAAGAGATTTTTGCTATAGGGCAGAGAAAGACAGGAGGATGGCCACGCCGCAATCCCTTCTCCTCCATCCCCCTCTCAGAAAATTGGGCACGCACACGCGCCCCAAGGAAGTTTTAGGCGCGGTCCGGGACGCGAACAGCCGTCGGATATGTGTCGATTCTGGCAGGCAGATACGACCTAGTCTCTGGAAAGTCCCTATTCCATGTTTTAGAAGATCAGGCTTTCACTTAAATCCCGAGTTTTATTCACCAATTAATCCAAAGAGATCGGACTGTAAACAGGAGGCGCCCAAATATTGACCTCTGTTGTGGGGGAAACAACCTGACCCTACCCGCCCTCTTCCGTCGGTCCCTCGGCTCGAACTCTCACCTCCTCGTCGCCGCTCGCCTCGGGTTTCGGACGCACAGAGAACCCAAAAAGGACCTGCTCGTAAGAACCGGCTACTAACTCCATAGCACCATTCAGCAGCACACGTGCCTCTTCCGGCAGAACGCGTCGGCGAGGGGACGGAACCGAATACGAAAGACAGGGGGCTTCCTGCCTGTGCCGGCGCTCACATTATACGTCATGACCGCCGGGCTGCCATGTAGACGCCCATATCCATGGAAAGGTTTACAGCTCTTGGAGACTCTACAGATTTGCCAAGAGAAGAATAAGAAAGAACAACACGTGAGAAAGGATCTTGCAAAGAGGAAAAACACCTGGGAGTAAACAGGCATGTAGTAGGAAGCACGAAGTACGTCTGGGGAGAATGGGCGGGACTTCCTCCGAGGAAGCCGCTCATGTCCGTGACGTCAAGGAAGGGGCAGGCCAGCTTCCGGCCTGGGCGGGGTCTTGCTCTCGCGTGCTCAGTAGGCGGAGCGGTGTCTTGTAAACTGTGCGGAGCTGTGGATTAGGTTGTGCAGGGCGCAGCGGAACGAGCCTTTCTGGCATAACAGAGCCAGGGGGACTTGGGGCTCGCGGTTACTGGATCCGGGGCCGCAGCGACAGGCTTGGGTGTGCGAGATTGGAGTCCGAGCCAGGTCGTCCTGCCCTGCACACCTTTCCTTCCAGATCTCTTCTCGTGTCTTAGCCCTGGGGTCAAATTGATCCGAGTTGAGCACCTCCTGGGGTGGGAAGAGGACGCTTTCCCTGATGGGTATGAGGACAAATTGTCTTGAAGAAGGGTGCAGTCATCCTCGGTGAGCATTCCAGAAAAATCTTCATGTTGGTTCCAATTTCACTTGCCCTATTCCCTCCCGGATTAGTCCAACGTTCGTGGAAAGCATCGATGGTCCTTGTACTCATAGAGTCCGGAGATTCACGTTACATGTTGGAATTTGCAGCTTTCTCACAAGCACCCAATAGAGTAAATCTTGTATTGTGTAGTTCTCATAAACGCATAACAAGTCGGCTTGACAAGCAAGTGTTAAATACTCAATGTCCGAGCAGTCTTCAGCCCCCACTTGAACAGGGATGCAATCCTTAAAGCCTTTTGTCTCCAAGGACTTATTTTTCTGGGGTTCTGAATTTAAATACATAGCTGATTAGCTCAATGAATGCCCTAATGCCGGTTATGATTTGTAGATAGGAAGGGCTTCTGTTGCAATTTTTGGCATCTGCACATGTGAACAGACGCCCAGGCAACTAAAACACTGTGGTCAGCCATTCCCAGGCGAGTGGAGACCCTTGCATTAATTCAGTGTTCTATAGTAATTCTTTATTGGCAGCTAGTTGTCATAAAAAGTCACAAATTATTTTCTGTTGGCTGCTTAACGATTTCTGAAGATCCACTGAAATAGGAGTGTTAAGTGGGTGCCCCTTGGGCATGGGAGAAAGAATGAGTAAGCAAGGCATTTCTTTGAAGTTTCACCATCCCCCTAGGGGGATGATTTCTCGCGCTCTCTGTCTCTCTCTCTCTCTTTCTGGCGAGCACACGTGCCCTGTAATAACAACAACAAAAACTCTCCAAAAATAAAAAATAATGACTTTCTGCTCTTTGCTCCATGACATATCAGTTCATTTTAGTGCAAAAGTAGTAGTCTTTCCAGAAAAAAATCTTTCCCAATCACATCCTTTTTGTGTTATTTTGCTTCTGGAATGTCTCTTAGAAATTTCAGCTGCTGTTTAAGAAGTGTTAGTGAGGCCAGCAGGTGTCCTGGTAGTTGAGGCTGCTGAACTTGGTTCAAGTTTCAGACCCGGTGTCTTGAAACTCACACCAGGTACATATGCATGTGTGCCCAAAATCCCAAGTGGAGAATGGAGGTGGGACTATGGCATGGTCATCACCCCTGGGGAGTGATTTCTCCCTTTCTATTTCTGTGTGTGTCTTCAGCAAGTGCAAGTGCTCAACAGCAAAAATCCCTCTTAAAAAAAAAAAGGGGGGGACTAGCAGATAGCATAATGGTTATCACATAATCAATCACAGTTCAAGTCCTGGACACAGTGCCCAGAAACTCACGCTGGGTACATGTGCATACATACCCAAAGTCCAGAGAGGAGAATGGAGGAGAAGGGACTGCAGCTTTGTCATCCACTCTGAGGGGTGATTTCTTGCTTTCTTGTCTCTCTGGCGAGCACATGCGCCCTATAGCAAAGTCTCTGTCTCAAAAAAAGAAAAGAAACAAACATGCAAATGTGATCGTACTCAATACTTTTTTTAAAAATTACCCTTAACTTAACACTGTAACAGGGTAAATACTGGATTCAGCATTTATTACCAGACAGCCGCACGTTTTTTGCTAGAGGTGAATGCTCTCGCTATAGAGAGACAGAGAGAGGGAGAGGAGGAAGCATTCTCCATGGGAGATGGTCACACGGAAATCCCTTCTCCACTGTCTCTTCCTTTCAGGATTTTGGGCACATGTGCACATGCGCCCAGCTTGTTTCCAAGCTGTAGAGTCTGGGACTTGAACCACACAGTTGGCTACATGGGATCCAGCTGCCTTTATCACCAGGACATGGCCCCAGACCATCATACCCTTCTTGAGTATTAGTCACTTTTTAGAGGAGAAGAAACATGAGGCTTGATAAAGTCTGCTTCTCCAACCAGGAATCTTAGACTATAGTTGGCTCTAGAATGAGAACCAGAGTGTAAGTACTAGAAGCATAAAGTTGTCTTACTTAGTAAAAATCTGTTAGTGGAACCAATCATAAAGCTCAGGATTTAAAGAACATCTACTCCAGATGTTAATCTGGGAGTGGGGGTGTTTGTGGATAAGCTTCAGAGTTTTCGAAAACCTTGAAATTATATGCAAAATTGCAGATGTAAATTTGGGGGAGAGAAACTTGACAAAAATTAATTATGTTTTCAGAAAGATTGGTATCTCGTTAATGACAAAGTGGGGCCAGGTGGGGGCACCATGGTACCACAGCTGAACCCACATGGGCGAGGCCCTGGGTTCATGCCCTGGGAACGCCAGGCTTGCACAAGTGCCAGTGGTTCAGGCTTGCTGAAACTGGGCATGGACCATGGTTTAAAGACCCTGTGGGAAAGTCTCCCTTTTCTCTTTCTCTGTCAAAAATAAATGAATGAACTTCAAAAAAAAAAAAAGTTAAAATACACTAATGCAGTGTTACATTATAAATACCAAAACGTGTCCAGAAATGTGCCCTTTTCAAGATCACACAGTTATGACAGCAGAGGCAGAAGGGCTGCAGTTTTTATGCTTTCTTGAACATTTTCTTTAACAGAGAAGAAGGAAGTGGAGTTTGATTACATTCGTGGTGTGGCATAGTTTCCTAGCTTGCTCAGGTTCGGGTTTTCCATTGTCTGAAGACAATACAGAATTAATCTCATTCTTGTGAAAACTGCAGTCGCTAAGAAACAACTGATTGTTGAGAGCTCGTTAATCACCAAAAAAAAAAAAAAAAAAAAAAGATTTTTTTTTCCGTCTTGCTTTTAAATTATTAATTGAAAAGTTTTTGTTTTGTTTTGTTTTGTTTTTGAGAGGTTTTTGCTATAGGGCTCATGCGCTCACCAGAGAGACAGAAAACAAGAAATCACCCTCTGGGGGGATGGCCATGCCATAATCCCTTCTCCTCCATTCTCCTCTCTGGATCTTGGACCCACACACACGTGTCCAGCGTGAGTTTAAGCCACCAGGTCCGGGACTCAAACCGTGGTCAACTACATGGGAGTCCAGTACATGGTCATTACACTAACTGCTGGTCCTGATTGAAAAGCTTTTTGCACTTGAGCCATTGTTGATGTATTCATTCAACAACTATTTATTGAGTGCTTGGTTTTGTCTGATTTGCTAAAGATGGCCAGTTTTTTTTTTTTGTTTTTTTTTTTTTTGGAGAGGTTTTTCACTATTGGGCACGTGCGCTCGCCAGACAGACAGAGAGAGACATAGAGACAGAAAGCAAGAAATCACCCCCCAGGGGGGATGGTCCCACCGCAATCCCTTCTCCTCCATTCTCCTCTTGGGATCTTGGGCACGCACGCACACGCGCCCGGCGTGAGTTCTAAGCCACCGGGTCCGGGACGTGAACCGCGGTCGACTACGTGGGAATCCAACGACATAGCCATTATGCTAACTGCTGGTTCCCAAGATGGCCAGTTTGAAGTGGATGTCCTAGGCTGAGAGCAGGGTGGAGCACAGAAAAGTCAGGCCTGTTAGAAATATTACAGGATGGGGGACCAGCAGATGGCAAATGATTACGTCACTGGACTCCCATGTAGTTGACCACAGTTCGAGTCCCAGTTCTGGTGACTTAAACTCACGCTGGGTGCGTGTGCATGCGTGCCCAAGATCCCAAGAAGAGAATGGAGGAGAAGGGATTGCTGTGTGGCCATCCCCCTTGGGGGATGATTTCTTGCTTTCTGTCTCTCTGTCTCTTCAGCAAGCACACACACCCTATAGCAAAAATCTCTTTAAAAAAGAAATATAGCAAGGTGGGCCAGCTGATGGCGTGGTGGTTAAGGCAGCTAGACCCACGTGGCTGACTGCGTGATTCGACTCCCAGACTTGGTGGCTTGACAAATATGCTGGGCAGGTGTGCATGCCCAAAATCCCAAGAGGAGAACGGATTGCAGTGTAGTCATCCCCCCGGGGAACTGATTTCTCACTTTCCCTCTCTCTCTGTCTCTCTCCTATGAGCACACATGCACTCTAGCAAACTAAGGGGGAAAAAATCACAAGGGACCAGCAGATGGCACAATAGCTATGTCACTGGACTCCCATGTAGTCGACCGTGGTTCAAGTCTCGGACCTGGTGGCTTAAACTCATGCTGGGCGCATGTGCATGCATGCCCAAGATCCTGAGAGGAGAATAGAAGGGAAGGGATTGCAGCGTGGTCATCCCTCCTAGGGGGTGATTTCTCACTTTGTGTCTCTCTGTCTTTCTGACTAGCACACGCACCCTATAGTGAAAACGTCACCAAACAAAAAAGGAAAAAGAAAAAATAAAAAAATCACGGAAGCCCCAAATCCCTCAGTTACCCTCCTTTCTCTCTGTGAGCCTGTTCAACTCAAGGCCGGCAGGGGTTGCATGTGGTTGTGTTCCGAGGACTTGGGACTTCTTTGTATTTCCTCTTTGCATTAAGGGCCGCAGAGCTGGTGGTCTGCTTCCCCTGGACACTATCTGGAATCTGCCCTGATAGAAATTTGCATTACTTGTTTCACGGATCACTTAATCCAGGCGCACCAGGAGAGGTTTCCATGGGGGGGTTGTCAGGAGCAAATCTGTGTGGGCCCTACCTTATCTACAAGGCCTCCTGATGCCCACTGTGGTCCCAGAAACTTGCTCAGTCTTCCTTCCCCCTTCTCCTGCCATTTGGGGTTTCAGCATGACACACGGCCTCGCCTTCTCTCAGCCTCCTGACCACACCTTGTCAAGGTTCTACTTCCACATTCTTTTCCAACTACAGATAACCTCAACGCTCACCCGCTTGTAGGCACAATTCTGCTTTTCTTTCTGTAAAATGAAGTCAGTCCTAACAGGAGAGAAGGGAAAATGAATTACAGTTTTTAAAGAAAGAGGCTCTTTAACGCTTTTTTATTTATTGTGTGTGTGTGTGTGTGTGTGTGTGCGCGCGTGAGAGGTTTTTGCTATATGGTATGTGTGCTCGCCAGAAAAGGAGAGAGACAGAGAAAGCGAGAAATCACCCCCCGGGGGGATGGCCATGCCACAATCCCTTCTGCATTCTCCTCTCGGGATCTTGGGCACGCACACACATGCGCCTGGTATGAGTTTAAGCCACCGGGTCTGGGACTTGAATCGCAGTCGACTACATGGGAGTCCAATGACATAGTCATTATATCAACTGCTGGTCCTGTTAACACATTTTATTGGACATCGAAGCTGCTATAGTAGCTAGAAGTTATATATGGGCCAGCCAGGTGGCCTGGTGGTTAAGGCAGCTGGATCCCACGTGGCCAACTGCATAATTGGACTCCGGACCCAGCAACTTGAAAAACATGCCAGGCACATGTGCCTGTGTGCCCAAAATCCCAAGAGCAGAGCAAAGGAAAAGGGATTGTGGTGTGGCCATCCCATCTGGAGGGAGCTTCTTTGCTTTTTATCTCTCCCTCTCTGTCTCTCTCTCTGGTAAGTACATGCACCCTATGGCAAAATTTAAAAACAAAAACAAAAAAAAACGAATTATGTATAACTTGGTAAAATAACAGTAGCTTAGACAGAACATCTGTTAAGGAAAAGAATCCTGATGGTAGCCAGGCCAGTGCCTGTTGGGGAGTTCACAGTCCCTAGGACACAGACACGTTCTGTTTTCTAGTATTCTTGTGCATGACTTCTTCCTTGGTGTCACCTCACAGCCCAAAGTAGCTGCAGAATTATATTAGCTCCAGCTCTCACATGTGCAGTCTCAGCACCAGGCCTGGGAAATGGTGGATGACGAAAAGTCTTCCTTCCAGCTAAGCAAATACCAGTTGCCCACATGGTCTTCAGTCTTCTTTCCTCAGTCGTCTTCTTATAGTTCTGTTGATATCTTTAGATGGAACTGGGCTCCTGGTCACATCTAGCCACAAGGGGGGAATTAGGAAAGGTCATTTTGGTGGATAGCTTGGGCCTGTTGCTGCCTCAGATAAAATCAGTTCTAGTATGAGAGAAGGAAAGAAAGCCATAGCAGATGGCACTTAGTGAAGTCCTCCAGGACTGTCGGTCAGTAAAATCCTCCAGGAAGACACGGAAGCCTAGGACTGTATATCCCCACTCCAGCACCAGTGCCAGGCGCTATCTGCATGCAGTAAGGACTCCTATCACCGGCAGCTGAGCTCGAGGATCTGAATTCAGCATGCTTATTATTTTTCATGTTGTAGGTAAACATAGAAGCCACTGAGTACTACCAATGGAGTTGTTAGTTATGAACAAGCTGCAGGGAAATGGCCAAGATGTCAATGTTACAGTCTAATTAGTGAGAAGTAAGAGGACATTTAGACAGCCAAATTACTGGAATTTTATTAAGTCGGCGGCGTACAGGGCAGATGTGGGGTTGGGGGGAGACTCGTGTCTCTCAAAAACCCTGCAGCCCCAAGTGAAAGGTGAGGAGTGCTTAGAAAGGCAAAGATCCACATTTTTGGGGAGTTGACGTGGTGATTACAAGAACAAGGCGTGGTGGGTTTGAAATGGTAGAGGGGAGGGGCTTACAACGCTGAAGCAACGAGCAGGTTAATCATTTTTAAGGGTATGTTTTATTTCTATTTAAACACAATGGAATTTTAATGATTTATGTCTAGGGCAAGGGGTTTGGTACTTTATTATATTACTAAGGAACATTTTAAGGTAGGTGTTTCGGGTTATTTAGCAAAGACAATAGAAATGTTAATGACTTTGTTTACTTTAGGCCAAAAAATAGCTAGTTTTTAATATAGAGAGGATTTTACAATAGAGGTGCTCTTGCTTCACTGCTTCATAAAGGCCCCTATTTGGCCCCAACATCATCTTTGAAAAAATTTCTATTTTTACTTTTTTTTTTTTTTTTAAGGGGGTTTTTGCTATAAGGTGCGTGCGCTCGTCAGAAAGACAGAGAGACAGAAAGCGAGAAATCACCCCCGAAGGGGGACGGCCACACCGCAATCCCTTCTCCTCCGTTCTCCTCTCGGGATCTTGGGCACGCACATACACATGCTCGGTGTGAGTTTAAGCCACCAGGTCTGGGACTCAAATCACTATCGACTACATGGGAGTCCAGCGACATAGCCATTACACCAACTGCTGGTCCCAATTTTTAAAAATGTTTAGTGTTTTGTTCTAGGGCACGGGCATTCACCAGAAAGAGACAGGGAGAGAGGGAAAGTGAGAAGTCACCCCCTCAGTGGGGCTGGCCACACCCCAATCACTTCTCCATTTTCCTTCCAGGATTTTGTGCACACAGGCTCCCAGCATGTTTTCAAGCTGCTGCATCCGAGACTAGAATCACAAAGTTGACCATATGGGATCCAGCGGCCCTCTTATATCTTGACACTCACTTTTAAGGATGGTGGGAGCTGGCTGGAAATGCCAAACGGTAGGTTCTGCTCCAAGTCTGACAGATCAGAACTTTACGGCTTAAACTATGTGCCCAGGGAATCTGTATGCACACAGAACTTTGGGAAACACCGCTTTATGATGCTTTTTAAAAATGCTAAAACACAGAGGTACTTCTTTAAACTATTATTCTTACACCTGCATGAAGTAAGGGGCATGCGTGTGTGCCTCCCTGCCTCTTGATTTGAAATTAGGTAGGGTCATTTCAGCCTGTAGAGAATTTTAAAAAGTGTCTAGGTGGGGTCAGCAAGTCACGTGGTGGTTGAGGCACTGGACTGCCATGTGGCCAACCACGGTTCAAGTCCTGGACCTGGCAGCTTGCTTTCTCACTTTCCCTCTCTGTCTCTCTCATGTGGTGAGCTCATGTGCCCTACAAGGAATTTAAAAGAATAATATAAATAAATAAAAGTAATTCTTTAAAAAAAGCTTCTAGGTGCTAGTTCTAGTAGGTATTCTTAGCAGATAATTGAGGAGGGAAACAGCAAATGATGGTAGTGTTTAAGGTTTAAGTTTTTAAATGCAACTAACCTATTACGCAGACATCTGGGTCCCACCCAGTTGACCAGCTCATGTTCCCTGCTCCCCTTCGCTGTGTGTCCCCCCTCCCCCTACAGGGCTCCCCAGGCCTAGCAGTTGGGGGGAAGGGGACTAGAGGCCTGGTGGTTGTGGGGAAGGGAGTGGCAGCTGGAAGCCACGAATACAGGTGCAGAAGTTCATCCAGGTGGCCTCCACGATTGCACCCGTGCTTCTGCCCACACCTTAACCACATTTTCGAGAAAGTTGCACTTAATCACCTAGCAGGAATTTCCATTAAATGTAATTACTCTGTCTCGAGGTAGTGATGAGAGCTCTTTGTCAGGGCAGCCCACCTGATGGGTTTTTTTTTGGATGCAGGAATAAAAATCGTGGATTCTGTCCTTTTGTAGAGTTTCTAAGTAAATGGCTCGAAGGGAGCGTTCAGCCCGTTTTGGCCTCGTTCAGTCAAACTATTACTGCTACTGGCCGAGGTGAGTGGGTTGTTTTTTTTCACTTTGAAAATGAAAGTCGTTCGTGTTCTCTTGCAAACATGTCGGCAGTTTACAAGCTATTCCTTGGAACAAAGGTGTTCGGAAATAGCTAGAGCAGGGATCATCCTGACTTGAGACTTCTTGGAAATAAGAGTCCAGGGGGTGGGAACAGATTCTGGCTGGGGCCAGTGCTGGTTGTCATTTCTGTGCTGTCCCCTCTGCTATTAGAGTGAAGCTGGAGTTCCAGCCCAGCCAGGGTCCCTTCTGTGGCGACTGGTACCAACAGCGGCAGGGCTCCTGCCTGCTCTCTGGCTGTAGCAATGGCGGTGCAGCGGATGGAGATGGACACAGCCTTCTTTCTGCACATGGGCCCCCGGACCCCCCAGCTGGAACGTTGGTTATGCCTGAGGTAGCCCCTGTTGATGTGACTCTCGCGTCATTCCCATGCCTGACCGTGTAAACACCCCTTTCCGGTCCTTACGTACCATGCCCTGCCGTGACTCTTGCTCCCTGTTTTGCTTAATGTTTTTAATTGTCAGAGGCTTATGAACTCGCCAAAAAGAGGGAGAAAACACCCCATAATGAGAGCGGGCTCAGGCCACAGCCCCTTCTCTTCCATTTCTGTTTTGTCAGGGTTTGGGGAACATGCATGTACACACACACACACCTAGTGTTTTTCAAGACGCAGGGTCTGGAATTCAAACCAAAGTTAGGCATGTGGGATCCAGTTCCTTTAATCACTCGGCCATAAGCTAGCCCCTTCACAGTTTTCTATTTTTGTTTTTGAACATCTTTTTTGAGGAA